AAATTAACAATTTTTTAGAGCACACGTCAAAATTTATATTTTTCATTGCTCACATTTGTTTATCGGTCAAAAATTAATGAATTTAATGGTTCCAATCGACCAAAATAATTTGTGACTGCAATCAACACTCGTGACTACCAGTTCACCACTTCATCGAGCAGTAGCATCCCACCGTCGCCGCCAAAACCACCACCACCACCTCCTCACGATGGTAACATCATCTCAAACAAATCAACATATCACAGACCACCACATCATCTTGCTAGATCCCCGACAACCTCGACAGACCCACCTCGCCACCAACATCTCACCATCACCTCCGACCACCACCACAAAATCAGATCTAAAATTATCAGTTACATAGAACCGCACCACCACCACCATCATCATAGAGGCCATCTATCACGCCAGCCAACACCACCACAGCCACCACCACTAACTGCAAACACAACAATACACCAATTCGTGCCCACGAGAGGCAAATTCTCGCAGTTGCAGTACAATGCAAAAGATGCCTTCGGAAACTGGGCTCTAAGAATTCTTCGCTGCTGCTGAAAAAGACCTCCAAAAAAAATTTACTGACAAGTAACTCTCGCTGAATTCACCAAAACATTGTTTTTATCACATCCTTGTCACGGTTGGAGGTGAACTTCAACTGAAACCAGTCAATTTCCAATCGCAATCACCACACAACTGAATATAATTAATCACACAAGCTGGAACTTCATTAATTGAACAAACATAAATTATATAAATTGTATTTCATTGATTAATAACTTCTATTACAATGTAGGGGATCATAATTAAAATGACAAATATAAAAGTGAAGATATGGACAAGCAGAGAATTGACCGGTGGAGGAGAAGAAAAGGAATTGGAGACCGAAAAAGAAGGATGGGGAGATAGAGAGTAAGAGAAAACTGAGCAGAAGAAGAGTCAGCAGGGAAGAAACAGAGCAAGAACTAGAAGAAGAAGAAGAATAACGAACCTGATGAGGAGGGGAGAACATGGAAGAAGCCAAAGCTCCGATTCAATTCATCAATTCAACATCTTCCTCACAGCTTACAATACAACCCTATATTGAACGATACAACTAAAGGGCTTGGACTAGCCCACTAATAACAAAAGCCCAAATACATAAAATAAAAATAAATGGCCCTATCCATGACATCCCTTCCTCTTAAATTAACCTTGTTCTCAAGGTTCAAAGTCGAGATTGTCTTCTTGTATGTTGTTAGCAGTTGTCTCATTCTCTTCACCATCCTTAGATTAAGTAAATAGCGCGAGAAAACAAGTGCCTCATTAGCGACAATCTTCTTGATCAACCCAGTAACGATATACAATTATGGTTGTGTACTCCAAATCAAGACTGAATCCAAAAAAATGAAAATGGAGACTGATGAAGCTGACTTCTCTGCATTCAAAAACATGCTGCTAAACTCTTCATCAACGAGATAAGGTTCATCCTTACACACAGCAAACATTCTCTCAACCTCCTTATTATGGTGTTTGAGTCCAATAAACCCCTGTTCAAAATAAAAAAACAATTAGGCTAAATTGGTTCATCCAATTAACTCCTAAAGCCATATCACCCCAGTTTCAAGGCTCTTAGATTGAACTAAAATTCCCAATCATGCACTCTCCATACTAATGGCTGACAAACAGCTTTGCTTTCTATTTTGTCCCCATTAGCTACCCTGATTGTCATCACATTTGCCTCATTAGTGGCATAGTTCGATTCCTTGATTAACCTTTCATCCACAAAGCTGTGGGCACTTCCACTATCAACGAGGATTGATATTTTCCTCCCTTTGATCATCTCAGGAATTCCAATATTTTTATGTTTCAAGCCCTCAACTAAAGCACTGATTGAAATATCCATAACTTCTTCACCTCCTTGTCCCTCTTCATGTTCAGACTCTTGTACTTTATCCACTTGAGGCACATTCGCCTCACCTTCTTGATGTTCTTTCATTGTTCCTAGTTGCATTATCTTGGTATCTGATTCAATTACTTCATTCCCTGTCATTTCTGAAAACCTCCTGCAAAGTTCCTCGGAGAATAAATTCCAATCTGCCTTAGGATGGTTTGCAATGAATCCATAAAACCATACATAAGCCCTCCCTTCCAAATACATCTTTGCAATTCCTAGCCTAAGTTCATCAAAAACTTGGTGTATCTGGAAGTATTCCCTAACCTTCCTAAGCCATTCACTGGGTACTTCTCCTCTAAAGTGCGGAAAATCAACCTTAGGAAGCCTAGTATCCCCCTTATACTTAGGCGGAGATTGAGCATATTGACCTAAATTATGATCAGAAGCAGGCACCTCAATATCCAGATTTACAGTAACTATGTCTTGTTTAAAATCCTCTAAGATAACAGAATTTTTAATTACCTTGCTAACACCAGTTGCTATTGAGTGGCCTTTCGAACCTTTTCCTTGCACATTGCAACCTTGCCAAATATTCAATAACACTATCAAGGATATGTGGTGATTGAGCCTCCATCATTTTAGTCAATATTGAAACCATATGCTCATGAATTTTATTAAAATCTTCCCTAATGATATCCAATCGAGGGACACCCAAGGATTGTAGCTGCTCCGATACCATTTGTCACAGTTGGAGGTGAACTTCAACCAAAACCAGTCAATTTCCAACCACGATCACCACTCAACTGAATATAATTAATCACCCAAGCTGGAACTTCATTAATTAAACGAATAGAAATTATATAAATTGTATTTCATTGGTTGATACCTTCTATTACAATGTAGGAGATTACAATTAAAATGACAAATATAAAAGTGAAGATATGGACCAGCAGAGAATTGATCGGTGGAGGGAGAATAGAGAAGCAACAGAAGAAGAGGAGAAGAAAAGGAATTCCAGACCGAAGAGAAGGACATAGAGATAGAAAGTAAGAGAAAGTTGAGCAGAAGAAGAGTCAGTAGGAAAGAAACAGAGCAAAAACCAGAAGAAGAAGAAGAATAACGAACCAGAGGAGGAGGGAAGAACATGGAAGAAGCCAAAGCTCCGATTCAAATCATCAATTCAACATCTTCCTCATAGCTTACAATACAACCCTATGTTGAACGATACAACTAAAGGGCATGGGCTAGTCCACTAATGACAAAAGCCCAAATATATAAAATAAAAGTAAATGGCCATATCGATGACAATCCTCTGAAGTGCAGATGGAATTAAAACTTCAAATTTCTTAGCTATGCACAATTTCAATAAATGCACGTACAATTTTAACATTCTGGAGGATTTACCATTGGAAGGATGTTACGAGTGGGATGAACTGAACCTCGACGAGAGCGCCGTCCTTTAGAATTGGCATCATGACGAGATGAACTGAACCTCAAAGAGAGGATGGGGATTTCTATTACCAGTGAAGAGAGAGAGAGAGAGAGAGAGAGAAGAGGAGGATTCCTATTACTAGCGAAGAGAGAGGGAGGGAGGTGAGTGATAAAATTAGGGCTTTAGATTGGGGTAATTATTTAGAGAGAAAATAGATGAACTAATATCTAATTTTTGTATAAATAAAGTTTGTATCTGAAATTTGAAATTGAAATTTTAAAATTCTGATATTGTGTAATTTCCACATTTTAAAATTCTTGTATTTTAAAATTTTGTATAAGGTANAAAATTTTAAGGTCACAATTAAATTTTTTTTATAAGTCATAGTTCGTTTATCGGTCACAAATTAAAAATTTTAAAGTCACAATTTGTTTATCGAACACAAATCACAAAATTTATAAGCCACAATTTATTTTATAGTCACAAAACATCAAATTATAAGTCACATATTACTTTTATTGATTACAAATAAATTTGTAGATCACACAATATTTATTGGTCACGGTTTATTTTTTATTGGTCACATACCAACCAATTTATTGGTCACAATTCAACAAATCATTTGTGACCACCACCAACACAACAGCACTATCATCTCCGTCGCCAACACCACCACCACAGAAACACATCACCAATGTCGCCAACAAACACCACCACCCCCCAATGAAAACGACCTCACCACCACCGTCGTCGCCCAATAGCAACATCAACATTTCACAACGAACACCACCCCCTTCCCAGCACCACTATCACTACCCCAAAACCACCACCACCGCCATACGCAAGCAATGAACACACCCAACCGCACGATCGTCCATACCGCAACCGCAACCACACCCACATCAACAAATCATCACCACACAAACTACACTACACCACTCAACTATCAACTATCACACCACAACCACACTCCACTGCAACACGGCCCACCACAGATCTAGATCGCTGCAGCCGCGACATCGTCGTGGTGGTTCGACAATTTGAGGGAGAAGAGAGGCGTTGGCGGCTAAGGAATGGTATTTGTTGGCGATTGCACCACTTGACAATGAAGGGATTTGGGGGGGAAATTAGGTGGGAGGGAGGCAGGGTTAGTTGACGGCGTTTCAATCGCCGCTTCAGATCGTGGCGGTGGGGGGGTCGCCAAAGGCGAGAGAGGAGGGGGTAGAGAGAGAACTGGTTGGACGGCGATCTAAGCACAGAAACGGGGAGGAGGCGGAATGAATTTTAGGGTTGATTTGGGTTATTTTAATTTGGATGAAAATTATATAATATTAAATTAAATATAAAAAATTTGATTTTTGAAAAGTTTAACTTGTGAGGTGATTCGTGAAAATGTAAAACTAAAACCAAGGCGAAGTGCAATTTTCTCCTGTCTAATTTCCACCTTCCCAAATTCTAATGTAAGGAAGCCCATTCTATAAAATAAAAAGCCCATTGTGTTACAATATTGGGCAACACGAAAACTCTCTACTTTATTCTTTAGACACATCTGGCGCACTTTAGCCTTCAGCTTAAGCAGGGTTCTTCCTTTCCCCCAACCTCTTCTTATTCAAAATTTGGATCTTTTTGTTATTGAGATTCGAAAACTCGGTTCACAGTTACTCAATTCTAGGGTTTTAGTTGCTGTTAATCTACATGGCGCCGGCGGAAGATCCGAACAGCACTGGAAGCACCGGTGGCGGAGCCACCAGAGACCAGGCATCAGTCAAGGTCCCTGCCAAAGACCCTAAAAAGAAGGACGAGAAGAAAGACGAAGATCTTGTAAGTTCGCGAAGAAATTAATGTTATGTATCTAGTAAATTAATGCAAAAATCTAAACTTTGTTACTCAGCTCGATTGATTATTAATTTTTGTTATTTAGGTTAAGAATACATTTGATAATTTGTTACTTGGTTGATGATTCATTGTTTTAATGAATTTTTATGCCGTTACGTTGTGTTTTAGTCCGAGGAAGATTTGGCGTTAAAACAACAGTTGGAGTTGTATGTAGAGAGGGCTCAGGATTCTGATCCCGGATTGCAGAAAGCTGCGCTAGAAAGCATGAGGTTTGTAGTTTTTTTTATTATTATTTATTTATTCCTGTTCAGAAAATTGGATGTGTTAATTTATTTTCTTTGGGAATAAAATTATATCTGATTTTCTTATTGGTGAACTTTAAATTAAATTCTGAGAAGTGGTTCCTCAAAAGGACATACCAAGCTTTCTATGGAAATCTGGAATTAAAAAAAGGTGTATTCTTAGTCTGGTATCCAAAATGGGTCTCACAGCAACCACAACCTATACAGGTTGCATCCCCTTTTGAATTTGTATTATGTTAGACAGAAAACACGTGGTCGGAATTTTAAATGTTAATGCTTTGTGGTTTAGTTTGGGGGTGAGATGAATTCTAATCAAAATGTCCATTTCTGAACTAACTAAAATTGCATGGTGAAGTTTTGAATAAATGATATAGTACTCTGACCAAGTTCCATCTACATTACTTAATGCAAGTCTAGTGAGGGAGAGGCCTTGTTTGCAAGTTTGGAAACCAGTAGTCGAAGCTGTTGCCTTTGTTTGTGCTAAGTTGCCTGTTAATTTTGATGGAATGCCTCACTATCCTAGTATTGAAAAATATGGAAGGAGTTAGTCCATCTAATAGCACTTTTGAATGCCGTATCTCAAGTGTGTATTGTGTAGAGCAATACAAATTGGTGGATGGGTCACATTTTGATATCTCTTAGTATTGTGATGAAATAGAGGAATAATTATTTCCTGGTCAGGGAATGTAAAATTGGACTAGTCAAATATTTACATATTTTACTGGTTACTTGATGAGGATCAATCTGATCTGCTTAATGATCTAATAAGAAGGATTCCTAACTTCTAATGATTGTCATGAGCTATAAATTTGATGTTCATATTTGCTTCTTTAGGCAGGAGATTCGTACTGCAACAAGTTCTATGACTTCAGTTCCAAAGCCATTGAAATTCTTGCGTCCTCATTATGGAACTCTGCAAGCGCATTATGAGAAAATGGCCGATTCTGATTTAAAGGTAAAAACTGTTTTAAGAATCTGTGCTCACATATGCCAGTCTTCCACACAAAATTTCTCTAATACTTGTTTTCTTTTATGCAGAAACTCCTAGCTGATATACTTTCTGTTTTGGCTTTGACGATGTCCCCAGAAGGAGAAAGGGTAGGCCATATATTTTATCCTATGCAGTTGTATAAAGTTCTCACATATTGGTATCTCAAATATTCTTATATTCATGGAATGTATGTCTACTCTTGCATGAATTATTTAAAAAAATAAGCAAAATGATAAGTTCATAAGTATGACTAATTCTACATGCGGTTTATATTAATACTAGAATGACATTTTATTTATACTAAAAATTTAAGGCTAACTGAGTAAGAAACTGAAATAAAACTGAGAGTTACTAACTCGATAGAATGGTATAACACCATTCTTTTTAATTGTGCTAATAAGCACAGAATGAGTACTTATGGACCTTATAGTCCTAAAACCTGATATAATTAGGAAGAAGTTAACTTTTGCCCCTTGGATTGGACAATTAGTGAGTTTGATTAAGTAGGATAGCAGATGCTTGCAGTACTATTGGAAGCATTTTTGCTGTTGCCCTCCGTTTTATGAGCATCTGCAATCATCTCATACGGTCTTTGTTTGCTTTATGTTTACCTGTTATCTGGTCGTTTCTTTCAGCTGCCAGTAATTGCTTATTGGACCCAACCCATATATAAGTTACAAAAGGATAAAAAATTACAGCTATTTTTCTACGAAGTAATTTGAGTTCAATTGTATAAATCATGAATACATCTACTGTTAAATTTTAACTGAGAGTAAGTAAATACACCTAGCCTCTGTTTGGGAAGAATTTATAGATGGTTTAATTTATACATAAATAGAAAAACTTGTGGATAAGTAAATAGTAGTTGTGGGTCCTTTGAAATGTGTGGTTGAAAATGAAATTGTTTATAAATTAGCCAAACAGAGGCTTAGCAACTCAAATTAAGCACGAAAATGGATACCATGACCGCAAATTTAAGTTCAGAACTCCAATATAGAATGTTGTTAAGATATTCCGCTAGGTTGAATGATTGGTTATAGACTTGTAGTATATCCTCGACCTCACAGTTCTCTCTCTCTCTCTCTCTCAAAACAAATTCTGATGGAGGGAGAATTTTATCCATATATAGTGCACCTATAAGTTACTTAAATTTTAAAATAGTCCTTTCCCATTTTGCTCTCAAGCTCACTACAAGGTACATATAACAACTGTATCCCATAAAAGGAGCGTGCAAGCATTTTTAGGATAAAAACATTTTCTTAAATTCATTATGTGTGAATTAATGAAGTCCAAAGATGCACTCCCACGTCATTCGCAAGTCATTTCTCAGGTCATCAAGGCTTTTTTTTGAAGTCAGATGAACGTATAATTTTTTTTTTCCATTTTATTTTCTGATAAAAGCCATTCATTTGTCGATAAGGGTTTTAGGCGAACTTACCTAAAAATGGAAAGTCTCACATATATGACGGGCCTAGATTTCTTACTAGTTATGTATATTATTTTATTGAGATTGAATGTTAGGCTTATCTTGAAAGCTATTGGTGTATGATATATTTAATTATTTATGCAATTACTAATGTTGCAGGCAAGCTTGAAATATAGGCTGCTAGGTTCCGAAGGTGATATTGGTTCATGGGGTCACGAGTATGTCAGGTGAGGATTTCTGACTATTATTTAGGCTATTTTGGCTTCAAATAACGTTCACACAAGTGTGTGATTTTGACATTACTGCCTAATCTTTGTGTTTCATTCTTTTCTTCATCACACATTATTTCTGTTAATATTAATAAATATGTAAATTGAATATATATAACGTGTTACGTTATTATTGTGTTAAGAGGTTTCACATACTTTTGTATGATACGTCCATGTTAGTGTGAGATTCACCATGTGATGCATTGACACGGACACGTGTGTCGACCGGTAGGTGTTTGATACACGATTTTTCTAAAAATCATCGGCACTACATATCCCTGACAAGTTAATTAAATTCTTTAAAAAAATTTATTTGCAAGTATAACTTGATTTTTATACTTACTATTAATTTTTCTTATTGAAATCTTTTACATAAGGATACTTATTTGTTATATTATAGTAATGTTAAATTATGAGCTTGTTTGGGAGGGATTTTAATCCAATTAAATTGAACATATAGTTATTATTGGGTCTCACTCGTCTAATAAAAGTCAACAATAATTAGTTTTTCAATTTTAATCTCTACCAAACAAGCTTTATATCTATTACAGTATTACTACAATGAAGAAATGAAAATGCCATGGTAGAATGTTTGAAGAGTATCAGTATCTAACTCGACATGGTAGTGTCGAACATGGATACGTCACTTTAGTTGAAGTGTCTGTGCATCATAGTTCACAATAAATCCATTTCTTCATTATTGAAAGTAAAGGATCCGTATCCTGTGCCCCTGTTTGAGAATTGAGTGTGTGAAATGAGTACTTGGTGTTTATTATTTATCAGAAGGATACAGTGCAACACAACTTTATCAAACCAGTTCATGTATTTTCAAAATATCCTTTTTGTAGTGTATGAAATGACTTTTCATCTGTATGGTTTAGGGGGCATATTTTTTCAATTGTTGGAGTCTTGTAGTGGAAATTTATTCCAAGCTGTTCTTTATTCGAATGTTGAAATTTTTTGCAGGAACTTGGCTGGGGAAATATCCCAAGAGTATGCAAAACGGCAGGTTGGAACTTCTACCATATTGGATACCATCACAGATCGAATTGGTTTTAGTATAGCTCTTTAGTGAACTTCTTGATAGATGCTTGTGTTTGCTTTTATATTTCAAAGAGATATAAAGTCTTGAGTGGTGGTTTATCAAGTTCTTATGTGATGCTTTAACTTTCACACATCTGACTATCGGTGCCACTATGTTAACGAGATAAAAAATTGCTCGATTCTGTTAGTATTTCTTGATGGATGCTTGTGTTTGAGTTTATATTCCAAAGATTGATATAAAGTCTTGAGTGGTGGTTTATCAAGTTTTTATGTGACGCTTTAACTTTCAGACATATGACTAACAGTGCCACTATGGCAACGAGTTAAAAAAAAAAATTGCTCGATACTGTTAGTATTACTGATGAATTGGCTGTTCTCTTAAACTCTTCAAAGAAGTCACTTGTTCCCCCTTTGTTTTTTGAGCAATGTATTTTTCGAGGTAGAACCAATAAATGGTTCTGCATGCAGAATAGCTGAATTAAAAAGAATTTATAAGCATGTTTCTTTCTGTTGAAATCTTTTCAGACTGAGGAAGCCTTAATTGATGATCTAATGGAGCTGGTGGGGCAGATTGTTGCTTTCCATATGAAGGTAAATTTTTTATCCTTGTGTTTTATTTGGATAAAGATATTTTGCTTTGAACTGATGCATGACAGTGCATGACCTGGTTAGTTAATTGTTCTGTTTAGCTGTGATTTTTGACCACTAGCAATCTCATCAATGAGTTTCCAATCATTGTCAATGCATATATGCTAGTCTTTTTCTGGAACAAAAGTTATGGAATCTCTTTTTTCCCCTTTTATTTGCAGCACAATGCTGAACCCGAGGCAGTAGATCTTCTAATGGAGGTACTTTTAATCCTTCATAACTGGATCTCGAAAAATCACAAAAATGCTTGTAAGAAAAAAAAAGAATGTATTTTTGATCTAGACATTTTGTTGTCCAGGTGGAAGACCTTGATCTGTTAGTGGAGCATGTAGACAATGCTAACTATAAGAGGACATGCCTATACCTTACTAGTTCGGCAAAGTAAGTATATTCCATAAACAGTCATTGGAAGTTTCTATGTGATTTGTCTGGACTCTTTTATCCTTTTGTGGAATGTGTTTAAAAATCACCCATCCTCATCCGGACCACACTGAAATATTTGATGCAATGATGCATCATCATCCAGTGGATATAATGTGCAAGAAAATATCAGCCATTTGAACTTTGTTATTCTTCCCTGATTGCCATTTTAATTTAAGCTATGATTATTGATTTGATCTAGAATGTATCACCTTGTAGATATAATATTTCATAGTTTAATCATTGTGTTGGTAGATATGTTCTGTGAAAAATATATCTGTTGCCAAGTCTAGGTTTTGAGTACATTAGCATATTCTTATAACCGAGCATTACTGCACTGAGCTACAACCAGCTGGCGCTGTTGTCTTACCTCTAATATAGAGTGGCAGGTATTTGACAGTATCGTTCATGATAGAATTGATGGAACAGGTTAAGCAAAACCTTCGGTCTTATTTGCTATGTTAGAGCATTCTACTGATAATTCAAAGATCACTGGTCGCCTGTAATCTGTAAAATAAGCTATTATTGTCATGGGATTGTCTTCATTAAGTGACATATAATAGCACTTTTGGAAGGTTTGCTCGACCCCCATCCGTCCTTCTAAACTGGTAATTACGAGGAGAGTGCATTCTGTTGGGCATTTATCTGCAGTAACCGTATCATCTGGGATGCTAGATAGAACTTCTAAAAATCTTTTGTTCCTTGGGGTGAATTTTTCTTGTTATCACTCATTCAAATACATTATAAAGTGGATCCAGGGCTTGGAATTCGAGGAACTCTTCATCAACAAAATTTCCCATTTATAACTCATTAATTAATAGGAATAGCACTGGTTGTTGTACAAGTAAGGCTTTAACCTATATTTACTGTTGTATAATTTCAGATACCTTCCTGGACCAGATGATATGTTAGTTTTGGATATTGCATACACAATTTATATGAAATTTGAAGAGTTTCCTAGAGCATTGCAGATTGCTTTGTACCTTGACAACATGCAGGTTTGTACTCACAAGGACTAAGCAATTCTTACTTCGTCTTGAACTATGGAGTAATTTTGATCAAATTCTCTTGTATGACCAGGCATGCGGTTGTACTACATGTACATAATATTTATATAATGATTTACATACACATGAAGTGGTGAGATGTGATTCGGTCATAATTTTTTCAACCAAAAAAATAAATAAATAAAAATTCTCTCTTTTTGATGCCCCATTTGTATGTAAACCATTATGTAACTTCATTATGTACAAGTAGCATTATTCTAAGGCATGATATAGATACAAAGGTCTGGATCCCAATTATAAAATGCATGTCTTATTTTGAGAGAGAGAGAGAGATCCACGCTTTCACCTTTTTCGAATTTGACTCTTACAACTGGGTATTCATTTGCAGTATGTAAAGCAGGTTTTCACCTCTTGTAATGATCTTCGAAAGAAGCAGCAATTTTGCTTTATCCTTGCTCGCCATGTAAGTCCTCTTGAATTTGGCTTCTGCATTCATCTATACTGCCTGTTCTTGTCCCAGGTGCCTATTTTTTGGTGAAAGGGAGGGACTAAGTCTGACCAGAATGCATTTGTGATGTAATGTAGAATGGATACTCACCCACTTTTTATATCTTGACCTAATATTGGTTGCGTTTCACCATTGGCTTGCTTTTTATTTACCACTCATTATTTTACAGTTTGATGTAGAATTGGAGGGGGAAAAAGTAAGAAATCGCCTAATTGATTGTTATTATAGTGAACTCTGGTCTGACTTGTCCCAATCTTTATGTGGTACTTGCGGTGGGTAAAGTGTCTTTGTACAGATTCTCATTATGCACTCAGATACTGATGAGTTGTGCTACAGATGAGCACAAATTCTTATGGGCTGGAGGGTTTGTGCTTAGAGAGTGAGCCACTGCAGTGTGGGGCTAGAGATATAATTCTGTCTGTCTTTGTTGCTCTTAAATTAATCTGTATACTTTAAGAAGGTCACCAAACTGCATGGTCTTTTACAGGGGATTACGTTTGAACTTGATGATGAAATGTCCCCAGAAGATGAAGAAAGGGAGTCTCTGCAAGAAATCATCAATAATACGAAACTGAGTGAAGGGTATCTTACACTTGCTCGTGATATAGAGGTCATGGAGCCCAAATCTCCTGAGGATATTTACAAGGTCTGGATCTAGTGGATTTCTCCTTACCTCTCTTAGGATTTTGGAGACTGATCTTTTAGCATATTTGAGGTTATCTTGAACATAAAGTTATTTTTTTCATAATAATTTGCCTGAGTTCTCAGGCACATTTACTTGATGGCCGAGCTAGTGGTGGGGGAAGTGTTGATTCTGCTAGACAGAACTTGGCAGGAACATTTGTTAATGCATTTGTAAATGCTGGCTTCGGTCAGGTAAATTTTTTTTTATGAAGAGTAGGTTCATTCTAGAATTGGAAAAGGTTTGGTTCTTTGTCAGTGTTCTCAAACTGCCTAATTTTTATTTGTTCAGGATAAGTTGATGACAGTTCCATCAGAGGTATCAAGCGGCGGTTCTTCAACAAGCTGGCTTTTCAAAAATAAGGATCATGGAAAGGCCAGTGCTGCAGCAAGTCTGGTATGTGCCTAAGGTCATTTTATTTTTTTCCCTGTAATGTGAAGGCATCCTGATCATGCTATGTCACCATTACAGGGTATGATTCTGCTTTGGGATGTTGATTCTGGACTTGCACAACTCGACAAATATTTCCACAGTACTGACACGCACGTCGTTGCGGGCGCATTACTAGGAGTCGGGATCGTAAATTGTGGTATCAAGAATGACTGTGATCCAGTAAGTCCAAATTTATAAAATTGATTGAAGTCTTGCATACAGACGCGTCTCCTGAAAAATTTCACTTTTGTTTACATGGATTGATCGTCAATATTAACAAATATTTGACCAAATATTTTCCTAAATCATATTAATTTCTTCTCTCAGGCATTGGCACTTTTAGCGGATTATATAGACAAAGAAGATTCTTCAATTAGAATAGGTGCAATAATGGGCCTAGGACTTGCATATGCTGGGTCTCAAAATGAACAGGTGAGTTTCTGTTTGATCAACCCAGTAGAAATTGATGAGTGTTCTAAATCTTATGAACTTATTTGTGAAATTTATTTAATAATTTTTGAGTAGCCCATATCTAGCTCTCACCACGCATTTCCATTTTTCATGTCTGCTTGAGAAGAACCTGCTTTTGCCTAAATCTGACTATCTATTTTATTACTTCTTTCCAGATTCGAAGTAAATTAACCCCCATACTTGGAGATGCAAAGTCATCACTTGATGTGATTGCATTTACTGCAATCTCTCTAGGCTTGGTATATGTAGGTTCTTGTAATGAAGAGGTAGCCCAGGCAATTATATTTGTATTGATGGACAGAAGCGAGTCAGAGTTGGGGGAGGCCCTCGCCCGTCTCTTGCCTCTGGGTCTTGGTCTTTTGTATCTTGGGAAGCAGGTAATTATGGTTGCTCCTGCTGTGGCATTTAATCTCACCAAAAAACATATCTGGGGATAACAAGTTAGGTTCTTTTTTTTCCTGGTTATTCTTTAGAAATTACCTCAGGTGCAGGCTGACACTATGTGCAGGTGTATAATATTTACTCGCTATAGACAGAAGCCAAAACATTGCTGTAGGTAGACTTCATTATAGTATTAATTCACAGTTTTCATCTTGACAGGAAAGTGTGGAGGCAACAGCTGAGGTTTCAAAGACATTTAATGAGAAAATTAGAAAACATTGTGACATGACCCTGCTTTCATGTGCCTATGCTGGGACTGGAAACGTTCTCAAGGTTATGAACTTGTGCTGTTGGGCTCAGGCTGGTAGTGCTGCTAAGTTTATTAAGTTACTAACTGCTTTTTGTATTACAGGTACAACACTTCCTTGGTCAGTGTGCACAGCATCTTGAGAAGGGAGAAACATACCAGGGACCTGCTGTACTTGGAATTGCTATGGTAGCAATGGCTGAGGAACTAGGGCTTGAGATGGCTATTCGCTCATTGGAGCATCTTTTGCAGTATGGGGAGCAGAACATTAGAAGGGCAGTTCCTCTGGCTCTGGGTCTCCTCTGCATTTCAAACCCAAAGGTGATATCTATCCTTTGATATTTGCAAGTCTTCATTTGAGGTGACAATGTATTAGTAGGTAAAGGTCTGCTGTTCTCAAACTATTTTCTATTGTTGGCAAGTCTGAGCGGTTGGTCAGAGACACAAAATATTATCATTTCCCCTGATCTTGAAAATCTTTTCTGGAAGCAAAAAAACAAATACTGCTGAAAACAGGAACTCATGTTGGCACATTCATTAAAATAGCATAATAAAACATGTAAGCAGTTCAAACTCAGGCTGGCTAATGTGTGCCCTGCTCAGTCTTGCCCATTTCAAGATTTAGCCCTTGTTTGTGCTCCATTTTAATGAGGTTTTGGGGAAAATGTATTTTTGAAATAGTGATTTTTTGAAGAATTTGTGGTTAAAAAAGAAGGATAAGTTTTGGGTTTACATGTAATATTATTTTATTGAAGAATGTGGGGTTAAAAAGAGGAGAGAGAAAAATGCATTTTGGATAAAATGGAGTCCAAACAAGGGCTTATTCTCATAGCCCAGAATTTGTCAAGGGTTTAGGCTTTAAACACAGTCCGATCCAATTTTATTCTTAATATAGGGTATAAATTAGGGAAAAGAAGAAATGAAGAGTCCGTGCATGACCTATCACCTTGCCCTCTACGGGTGCAAATGAAATGTGACTCCCTCTTCTGCAGGCTACAAGCGACTCTTCTTTCATTTATATATTTTGCTAGTGCTCTGTGTGTTTTTCCCTTTTCTTTAAAAGCTGAAAGTAAACAAAATGCTATCAAAATAGCTGGTTCACTGTCACATCTGTTTTGAACATTATGTTCCTTGTGGATTAGTGTTCTTGTAATGTGATTACTGCCTTTTACATCTATTTTTGCCTTGGACAACCGAGAAAAATGACTAGATACCCGTTTAGCCTTCTAATCGTCGTTTCGATGTTCTGTACAGGTCAACGTCATGGACACATTAAGCAGGCTTAGCCATGATGCTGACACAGAAGTTGCAATGGTAACGCAATCCCGGCTAGCTTGGTTTTGAAATTGTTCTTCATGCAAGTAATCTGAGGCGTAAGAACTTATTATTTATTTATTATTTTCTGAATCGTGCAGGCAGCCATTGTGTCTTTGGGTTTGATAGGAGCCGGAACTAACAATGCGAGAATAGCTGGAATGCTTAGGAATCTATCAAGTTATTACTACAAAGATGCCAGCCTTCTTTTCTGTGTAAAGTTTCCATTTTAACCTTGGTTCACAAATATTCATTCGTTATCCACATCCAGAGGCCAAATATGTCTTGACAGTCTAAATAATTTGCACTGCAACTTGTGCAGGTACGGATTGGTCAAGGTCTTGTCCATCTTGGCAAAGGGTTGTTGACCCTTTCTCCATATCATTCTGAAAGATTTTTACTATCCCCGTAAGTTTATCTTGTTTTGAAAGAGTAGCAGTCTGCCGGATGTTGCCATTTTAATGTGTATATTTCCATCAAACCCATTTTATGTTGCATCTGCATGAGATCATAGATGGAGGTAATTATGGTGGTCAGGTCCTTGCTGAGTGTAGTGAGTGATTATCTTTTACTTGGTATGAATTCAGTCGATGGGGCAACTTGGTTCTGAACAGTCTTGAGCCACTGACTCTGTGAAAATAGCGAATTTTTGGATTTGTGCTTGATGTTGAATGGTGTGATAAATTTTGCATGCCTGAGCAAATTCTTAAGCCCCATGATTTGGCTAATGAAAAGCATCAAAATTAATGTATATAATTTTCTTGATCTATCTAGAAGCAATGGATTGAGCGGAGTGACATCAAAGAATTCACGTAGCCACTTCAAATTTCTAAGAATCACCTTTAGTTTTAATTTAAGAAATTATTCTTGAAAAGAGAGATTATAGAGCTCAGTGCTGTTGACATTATCTTTACTCTTAACTACATTTTGTGCATTCATGACCCTTTTCTTACCTTCTTTGAAGGACTGCACTGGCTGGACTCGTGACTTTGCTGCACGCATGTCTTGATATGAAGGCTATTGTCTTGGGGAAGTACCATTATGTTCTATACTTCCTTGTTCTTGCTATGCAGGTTTGTCTTTTTTCTTGTTGGGTGATTGTTATGTTCCCTTTTTGTTGTCTTTTTACCTTCCATGTCTTTTCTTTTCTTTCTTGATGCTGCTTACAATATAATGTATATATTGTCTACAGCCAAGGATGCTGATGACTGTGGATGAAAACCTGAAACCTCTGTCGGTACCTGTACGTGTGGGCCAAGCTGTTGATGTTGTGGGTCAAGCTGGTCGCCCCAAGACTATTACAGGTTTCCAGACCCACTCGACTCCCGTTCTTCTGTCTGCTGGTGACAGAGCAGAGCTAGCAACTGAGAAGTAAGTTATATTATCCTTGTGAAATGTGCTGTTTATTTAGTGCTTGTTTTGGAGTCCTATAAGTTGTGGGTCCTACGGAATGGTAAGTGGGTAGTAAGAGGTAGGTTCTATGAAATATGTGGATAAAATGTATGTTTGACCAGCTTAAATTAAAATTTCAGTTAAAGCTGAGCATAAGCATTACATGCTAATATCTATTGGCTGTGCAGATATGTTCCTCTGTCTCCCATTCTTGAGGGTTTCGTCATCCTTAAAGAGAATCCAGAATACAGAGAGGATAATTGATGCTTAATTAGGTCGTATATGGTCTCAAGTTTCGTTTTTAATCCAATCTGGTCCAGAATTACGCACTTGAGCATTTCGCTGTGAAATACCTTTCTTTGGCTGACGGATGACCATTTCCTTTTCCTATTTTTTCCAAGTTTTATCTATTTTACTGCTGATATCATGAGTCGTGTTCTGTGCTACGAATTAGGATACGCTATTAATTTTCTGTGTTAGCTTATTCTATATCTTCTGCAATCTTCCTTGTGTAACTCATGAAGTACTGCACTGTAAATTTGTGACTTGGTCCCAGAAAGGAAACACAATGCTTTTACTTTTTTTTCTTTTATGTTATTACTGTTTCTGCATCCAATGCAGTAAGTTTTAAGAATCGAGATTTATTTTCTTGTATGAAATATATTTCTGTAGTATGGATGATTGTGGTAGACCTGAGGCTTCGACCCGAGGACCTCGCAAGTGTTATTATGTATTAAATGAATAATCTCTATCATGGAGAGCAATTAATAAAACAAGATTTACGTAGGTTAACGAGATGTGAAAGTCACGTCAACCTTCTACAGCAGGTTCGTCCTGTTACTTTTTATCTAGCTTAAAGCGTGCAAATTTCACTTAAGTACTGCTATAGCGCTTAAGAAATTTCCATCACACTAGGGGGTCTGTGAGCGTTGGAAGGTGTCAAATATATTAAGTCCCACACGTCTAACAAAGTAGAAAAATTCTTCGACAACATGAATTTTTTTATAGATTTTATTTTATGTACTCCATAATATAATGGATAAAAAATTATAATATAGTCAATTTAATTATTTAGTTGCAACAAACCTATGTGATTAGGTGCCTGTTTGGGAGGGATTTTCTCAAGATTTCAAGCAATTTTATAACAGTTGGGCAGCTCAGAAGTGGGGCCCATTGTATCCATTGGCTTTGTTTGTCCTTTCACTAAATTATCACAATTTCCAAATATGCCATTTAAGAACAGTCAAATATGATGATTGAAAGAAATGTGTACAAAATAATTTAAAGTAATAAAAAGGGTGTTATAGACTTTTTGTTTTTGAGGTGATAATTTTTACCGATGGCTTAAATGCCGGCAGTAATGAAAAGGCAGACAACGGTTATATTTGGGCTAAAAATCTTGGGTAAATCTCTCCCAGACAGGTTCTAGGTCTTCGTATTTTACCACCACTTAGCACGTATGGACTTGAAATGAAAGGGACTTTTTTTTTTTTCTTTTTTCACGAGAGAAAACAAAAACAGCATGCTATAGCTTTGTCCTAAAGCCTCAATGGTAGCCATATATAGATGGAGTCTCCACATTACCTTTGTCCTAAAGCCTTAATGGTAGCCATACATGGAGTCTCCACAATTGAAAACCAATTGTCTTGTTCAAGAGACCTCCTTTTGCTCTTTCATTGACATGCATGTGTGAATCAACCTCCCAATTTCAAACTTCCCGGCAGCTAACTTGAAAAGAAATGCAATATGAACTAGGAATTGGAGTGTCAAAAGTAGACATGTTTTATAGGATACAGGACATGAATGTGATACAGTACAAAAAAAGAAGTTAAAGTCTTGTCAATTGTAGTGTCGAATACAAATAACAATAGTGTTCTATATGTGTGTGTGTGTAATTTAGGCCAAGCCCTTAAAGATCAAACCAATCATCGGAAAGCATATGACTTTGATATGGTTGGCATTGCATTTTGTTAAGAAAATAAAAGATAGATTCAATATAGAATATATTGAAGGAACTTGATGAAAAAAAACATGTAAAACACTTATTATTCATCAAAAGCTCAATTGTAAAGGTGAATATAATGCTCTATTTATAGACTAAATTCTAACAATCCATCTAACAAACTAACTACATAACGGTTGGAAGAAGAAACTAGAAGGATATGGAATTGGCGCCATATTCAGCTGAGGTGAGTTGCTGGTTTGCTGGGCATGTTGAACGTGTGAGGAACTGGTGCTGGTTTGCTGTAGATTAAATATGCAACTTGCATATATTCCAGCACTCCTCCTCAAGATGGAACATCTTGAATTGTAGAGAGAAGCCGTTGGAAGAAGGCAGCCTGGAGATGAACTGGAGAAGATGTTGGGAACATGTCAGCAGAGAAGCATTCCAGAGGGGAAAAAAAAAACAGCAACATAAAACCGAAATAAAAGAGCATCCATGGCTCTGAACCGACGATTTGCTGAAGATATCATCACCATTGATGAGTGAAATGAAAACTCGAAATGCCACACTAGTGCAATCTCCAAGCCTCTCACCAATGGGAACTTTTGTCGAACACCTTGAAGGATGGCTGAAGAACAAAGGCTGCATCAGCTGAAAATATTGTTCTGATACCATATTAAGAAAATAAAAGGGATAGTACCTGCTGTAAATGGTACTATGGTAGGGAAGAAGAAGAATATTTCATTCATTCAACTTGAGAAATTACAATGCATACTAGTCTATTTATAGAGAAAAATTAACAACCATCTAACAAACTAACTACATAACAACTGGAAGAAGGAACTAGAAGGATATGGAATTGGCGCCATATTCAGCTGAGGTGAGCTGCTGGTTTGCTGGGCATGCTGAACGTGTGAGGAGTTGATGCTATGCACCTTGCATATATTCCAACGCATTTCTTGACTAGTTGCTTGGTTTCATCTTTCAAGAGCTACACATGCACAGATTAGCTCGTATGGTTTTCGACCCCATTAACATGTTGGCAAAGAACTGGTCACGGAGAACTCCCATTTGTAATTGGATTGGTGTTACGTGTGGCAAAAGGCACCCAAGAGTTACACGCTTGAATCTTTTCAACATGGGTCTTGAAGGTACAATCGCAAAAGAATTAGGCCATCTCTCATTGCTCGTTCTTTTGGACAATGAAAACAACAGTTTCCTCGGCCACATCCCAAATGAACTTGGGCATTTGTGTCGATGGGTCTTAACCAACAAGTTCACCCAAATGTGCAAAACTTGAGAAGATCTCTTTTGTCTATCAACAATTTCACAGGAAGCATTCCAATAGAGATCGGGAACTTGACACAGCTCCAAATATTCTACTTGGGCCTCAATAATTTGATTTGTACGTCTCATCTTGCCTGTAAACATGTTTCTGGCCATAAATTGACTTCCAACACGTCTAAAAGTTTAAGCAGTATAGAAAGGAAGTAAAGTTGTTTTACCAGTTCATTTTATCAATTTATTTCAGGAGAATTGCCATCAACAATCTTTAACATCTCTTCCTTGCTGAATATTGATGTTTCATTCAATCAAATCTCTGGAAGATTTCCTCAAGATCCCTGCCATCTCTGGAGAAAGCTTGAAGTCATTTATCTTTTCAACAACCAGATTTATGGCCAAGTCCCGTCTAGTATCTCACACCTGTCTCATACTCACAGGAAGTCTTCCTAGTGGCTTCGGAAACTTATCAGCGCTTCAACAGTTGGATTTGGACAGAAATAGCTTGACAGGTACCTAAAATCCTTCCTTCAAATCTAATAACTGAAGCAGCGTTTGGTAAGACTACTAAACAACATTAAAAAGAAAAAGACATTACAATCTTATATACTATATCATTTAATACTATCTAATACTAGTACCAAACACGTCCTGAAAGTTTTTCTTTGACCGTAGTACTTTAAGGTTTGCATTAACTCTACAGGTACTATTCCAAATTCAATTGGCAATATATAGAATTTGGAGATATTCCATGTTGGTTCCAATAGTATTGAAGGACATATTCCTGAAGAATTGGGAGTTCTGTCGAGTATGAAAGAGTTGTTTCTTGGTGGAAACAAGCTTGAAGGTAAAATCCAGGAATCCATTTTTAACCTGTCAACTTTACAAGCACTTTCTCTCGTAGATAATTACTTATCTGGAAATCTTCCAGCTACGATGGGAAATGGACTTCCCAATATAGAAAGTGTTTATTTTGGTGGTAATCAATTCAGTGGACTAATTCCAAGCTCTATAGCAAAAGCCTGGAAGCTCACATTACTTTATCTTTTCAACAATATGTTTAGTGGATATGTACTATTGGATCTTGGCAACTTGCAACACCTCGATTCTCTTCGCTTAGCAAAGAATCAGTTGAAAAACGATCCATTTTTTCTAGAGTTAGAATTTCTTGTTCCTTTGAGAAATTGTAGGAATTTGAGGGTCATAGACATAAGTTTCAATCCTCTAAATGGAAGGATTCCAAAATCTTTATTCTTGAAGTGATCTGTCTCTGTCCCTTGAATAATTTTTTGCAGTTTCTAGTGGCATCAAAGGCACTATTCCAAGAGAAGTTGGGAATTTGGGCAATTTATGGTTGTTAAGCATTGGAGGAAATGACTTGACAGGATCATTGCCTCAAGCACTTAAAGACTCGAGGAAGATGCAAGCCTTGAACTTACACTGTTGTAAATTTCAAGGTTCGATACCAAAAAACTTTTGCAATTTTACAAAACTATATCATTTAGATTTGGGGGAAAATAGGCTCTTTGGAGAAGTACCAGGTTGTCTAGGAGACATTACAGCATTGCGAGAAATACACCTGGCATTCAATGGATTCAATTCGACTATAACATCAGCGTTATGGAGTAACAAAGACATTGAGATACTGAAAACTTGTCTGACAATAATCCCAGTGGTTTTTTTGGCTCAAGAAATTGGCAGGTTAAAGAGCATGAGAGAACTGTATCTATCAGGGAATCGGTTATCGGGTGATATTCCTAGTACTATTGGACAACTTCAAAGTCTGATAGACCTAACATTATCCGACAATAAATTACACGGTTCTATACCTAAGTCGTTTGTGAATTTGCTGGATTTAGAATACTAAAAGACTTGTCCAGGTGAAATCCCACTCTCAAACTTCACTGCTGAATGTTTCACAGGTAACATAGATTTGTGTGGAGCATCTCGATTCAAGGTCGAGGCATGTAAAACTAATAAACCAAGACCAGTGAGCAAGAATTTAATATATATCCTACCATCCCTTGCTTCGATACTAGCTTTAACGCTTATTACTGTCTGGTTATTGTGAGACATTTGCCCCTTCCATCTCAAGCCAATTCTTTGTCTAACCTGACACATAAAAAGATCTCCAATTACGAAATTGTTCGGGGTACCTATGATTTTGATGACAGACATTTACTGGGGAGAGGCAGCACTCGAGCGTCCTTCAGGCACCCGTAACGTGCCTGATTTCACTCAAACGGTATTCTAGGCAATAATGCAGATTATAGATATTAAGTTACTGAATGAGGAAAATGTTACGACCAAACAAAATCTGTTGATATCAGTCATTGGAGTTGCCATAGAATGCACAAAAGAAATACCTGAGGAGAGGAGAGGATCAACATTAAAGATGTCTTGATTAGGCTAAAGAAGGTCTCTTTAATTACTTAGGCTTAGTCCTTTCAGAAATAATGTATTATTTAGAGTAATCTCTTTTAGATTATTCAATAACAGCAAGGTGTTTTCAAGTGTTTAGTACAAAGAGAAAATGAAGAAGAATCCTACTTATTTTTCATTTTTAACGAATATTTACTCCCAGCGTGTAGTTACAGATTGCCACCATGTATCTTGGAACAGAGATAGTACCTGAATATCGGGGACATTAGCTATTCCACACTACAATAGAAACAACTTTTGTTGGTAAATTGATAGAAAGGTTTTTGTTAGCGTCTGACCCAAATTCCTATTGGGATTAGGATTGGGTTGGTAAATTGATAAAATGAACAAGGGTCTTCTTGGTTGGGAAGGTCCGATTGAAAAGAGGATCAAAGTTCATAAACGATTAAAAGTTTGATTGGTAAAAAGACTTTGGATAATTGAAAACTTGGTTTTGGAGTTTAGGTGTAGAAAAGGTCGCCGCACTTTCCCTAGCTTTGGCGCAGGAGTGAAAAACAGAATAGAGAGCTGGCAACAACGTTTCGCTCGAGCGGCAGAGTTGCCGTCCACCTGACGCTCGAGCTGCAGTATTATTCGAGCGGGAATCCTTTTTAGATTATGACTCGTTTTTTGAGTTGTATTTAGGACTGGACATAGTCCGGTTCAGTTCTCTCGGGTATTTAATAAATAGAACCGTCGGGTCCAAATATAATTTTGGAATCGTTCAGGTTCGGTTCGTACCATAATTAAATTTTTTAATAGATTTTTAATGGTCAACGATCGGTTGATCGGTGGTCGTGGTTGGAGGTCGAGGCTTGGATGGGCATTGGGGAGGGGAAGTCGGACTCGACAGTCGGCGATTTCGATTTGGGCATGTAGATGTATGTTTTCAATTTATGAAATGATTTGGGGTCATTGACTCAGTGGTTACCGAATGAAAGTGTGAAATTGGAAAGAGAATGATAAAAACTTAAAAAAACATAAATCTTGGGCTAAGAATGAAATTAATAACAGGACCAAAAAATTGAATTTAGAAATTGGGTTGGGCTGAGCTAACTAGGCATGAACTTGACTCGGGAGTTAGAACATTAATCACTAAATAAGTTAATTTGCTAATTTGTTTAAAAAAAATTAATTAATTCAATATAAAAAAATTAAAACAATTATTTAAACTCGGTTATTCGGTTAGGTCTAGAACCGAGAACCGAACCAAACCTGTCGGTTTTCGATTCAAATACCCGTTCAGGTATTTAACTTATGAAAAATCGCTCGATTCAATTCAGTTCAGTTCGGTCTGGTTCGGGAGTTCTGTCCAACCCGTATTTCATCCAAAATACTTGTAATGAGTTCATGTGTATACTTCACGTGGTGTAGACTCTTCATACACTCAACATAACAATTAGATCATTATTCTATACATTAGAATCTTGAAAGAATTGTTTAAATTTAAATTGAGAGCAATAAATGTTGTAAACACAATTTTAGTTTCTTGGTATATGTCTCCTCGTCCAATGTCATTTTACCTGCATAAAAAATTTAATGCATGAGCATGATTGAAATGGATCGGCCAATTCTTGCTATTTGGGAATGACCCCGTACGGTGTCATTTGAAGTGAGGTCCAAATGGAGTTGGCTTGGAATGGATTCATGTGCCTAATATTGGGTGATATAAGAGGATTGCAACTCCTTATCAGTTATAGTTTTTGAGAAAAGTGATTGTATCTCTCTACATCAATTAGTACCAGAGAGGGAGATGAAGTTTATAATGCAAAAGCTTGCTTGAGCTGGATGAACCTATAGTCATCATTTGGAAATGACCCAATAACGCCTTTGTAAGGTGTCCTTTGAAGTGCGACTCAAACGAATTGAGTTTGGAATGAAATAAGAGGCCCGATTCTTGGTGATATTGGGTGAATTGCAACTCCTCCATTAACTATAGCTTTTGACAAAAAATGATTCTATCTCCCTACATCAAATTAGTTATGGTGAAACAAAAAGAACGAATTCTGGATTTTTTTTGGGATGATTAGAAATTCCAATATGAAATAATTAAAACCAAATACATAACAACAAATTTCTGAATTTTTGGGATCTCCTACTTTTCACTCTTCTCGCCAATAACCCCGAAATGAATGAAAGTAGCTTTAGCTTTGGCTTTGGCCTGTCTACCGACAATTTGCTATTCCTCTATTTCATGTAGTTGTTTCTTCTGACATGTTGGCATTTTTATGTATAACTGGATCGGTTCAGTTTATCTGGTCGAACCAGCCAGTCCTATCATTTCAACAACATTGAAGTTGAGTACAAAGAAGATTATTGATGCTTGTCGACGCTAAAATCTGCCCCCACTCCAAATATTTGGGAATCTCCGAATTCTATTGTCCCAAAGACTTGACCTGCAAAATAGCACACGTTTAAGGCGGCATTTTCCAATGCCCAGCCAAGCAATTTGGAGTTGTCCAGGAGAGGCATTCCAATGCTCAGCCAAAGACTTGACCTGCAAAATAGCACACGTTTAATGCACATAAATTAACAATGTGCTATAATGTGAATACTGTTTATCGCGTTGTGTTGAGAATGAATCTTTACCTAATCAAATGTCTCTTATATGTCTGTATACAGTCATCAAGTTTAAAGATCACAATAATGTATAAATGATAAATGAAAGCAAATAAATCTCTCAATCACTTGCTCAAGGTCAAAACCTGAATGAATAATCATTATATCCTAATAACATAACAAGTATTGACATCATCTAATTATTTTAAATAACATTAACTTTCTGCCAACTTCACAATATTTCACCACCAGTGGAGATTAGTGAATATTATCCACAATTATTTGCTACAAAGTTCATTACAAATAGAAAATGAAGAAGAAAACTACATCTTCTTCCATGAAGAACAAACATTTATTGACCAGCCCTTGTTCACCCAACGCGTGATTGGAACTGAGATACTGCCAGAATATCGTGCTACAGTAACAACGTTCATTGTTTCTTTGCGTGCCTCTCATAAAAAGCTTTTATTCTTCCAAGACCATCATCGAGTGATGATGGCTCAATGGCGAAAGTTACTCGGAGCCAATTCTTGAGTCCTACAGCAACCCCTGCAAGGAGAATTTTACTCGTATGTTATCTGATAAGCCAGTCAATTCAATTTATGAAGATTGAAATGACCAATTTGATACTAAAATAAGCAAAAACTATAAACAAACTGTCATTTGCATGCCAACAGCACGACTCGAGGTTTTTGAAACTTTCTATAGTTCTGATTTGGTTGGTATTAACACTCACCTTCCTATAACTGAGCTAACTCACACAAACAGATTCGTGAATCCTAATCAAAGCCCGTCAAGATTGGTACAATTCAGAGTTGAGTGAAAATATGTTGTTTCGTAAACATGCTTCAGCAAAAGCAGTGTAGCCTACATACAATATTACCACTCCTTGAGTCTGCTGGTTTACTCAATTGCTCAATGAGGATTTTTATATGTCCACAATTGGGAGTCTTATTTGGGAATCTCTTCTTAACATGTGTATTATCATCCATGAACACAATGGCCTCACCAAATCTTTGTAGCAGCAGAAAGTTGCTTGCAAACTTAAAATAAAAAAACCTTTCATTTAAGCAACTTATCAAGTCGGAGGAACACCACAGGAAGCTCTCTGTCACCATCAACAAACGGGTGGGAATCTTATACTAAAAATTGTTCACAACAACAAACAAGTACAGGGAAAAAGTATTTAGCTGCTGCTCTATCAAAGGTCATTATAGAAGAGAAAGTTCGTATGAAATATTTGCAGTCGGAATTACTACGGGACAGAAATGGACAGCCTAGGGGTTCAGTCAAGCTTGAACAGTCGTCAGCTTTTGATGCCTCAGACATGGATCCAACATTGAAGCAGGATAATACATATGGACCTCTTGGCGCACACATTTAAAGTTTAGTTGCAGCATTGGCAAACTACCTGAACTTCAACATTTGTCATTCGGTACTTGCATACCTTCCAAGAAACTCAAAACTTTGAATGTTTCTAGTCTTTATCAAGAAACAGTTTATACTAGTNAGTTCCGTATTTAAGGGGCTCAAAACTGAACCTGCCAACGTTAAATTCCAAGATCCTAACTTCAACTTAAATAGGAAGAGGGGTTATATACTTATCTGTGCCGTTAAACTAGAGCAGTTATTGTTATTTTAAATGAATTGAGGCTTAATTTGTATATAGTTTGTTTGTTAGGTGCATCTCTATGAAAAATGATGGAAATGAACAAAATGAGCAGAAAATTGACTAAAGTGGACTTAATCCAAAGTTTGGGGACTTAATCGCAAAATGATAATAGTTGATTTGGACATATTATCGATGATTGGAGAGAGGTTGGAGTCAATTAGATGGATTTGGAAGATGGAGGATCAAGAACATACGAAAAAATGAACCAAAATAACTAAATAATGAAATTCAGGGGCCAAAGTGCAAGAAATAGGAAATTGTATAACAGCGCGTGCACATGCTAAGTCTCTCGCGCGCGGGGGCATGGATTTCATATACTGAGAGCAAAAGGAATGAACGGCGCGCACGCAATGAACTACACGGTGCGCGCGCAATGATCTATTTCTGGGCCGAACAACTCAGCTTTCTAGTTTGATGCAAATTTTTATGGAAATAAAATTCAATCTACTATTTAACCTAGAGGGGGCGGTGTGAACGAGGGAGAATATATCAAATCCTTTTTTTTTTTTTGAAAGGTAAATCAAATCCTATTTTTCACCACAAAAAGATTGGGGGTGACTTAACATTATCTGGATAGATAAATTTTGTTTATGGGGTGTGGTCCAGATGCAGTAGCGAGAGAATTGCTCTGTTCATGAGGTATCGGACCTTGCATTATTGGGATCACGTCACCTGGACTTGGATATCGCTACATCCTATTTCACTTTTAGTATATTCAAGAATTACTTCACAACATAATCATGTACATTTAGCATTTCAGAGTTTTACAAATTAGCAGTTATCTGTAATTAAGCTAGTCGCAGAATCCAGAATTTATTTTTTACCTGGGAGAACTATCACGGATTCCTCCTCAGCTAGCTTGCAACAGAAGTCCACATCATCCTTGATCCCTTCCAGAAGGGACAGATTAAGTTTTACCTGACGTGAAAAAACTCTTAGCAGATGATTCCCCATATCATTTCTAAGAACATAAGAATGTCAATTCTCATGTCTTACCATTACAAACATGGATCCTTCGGGCTTGCTTGGGCAAGTAATGCAATGGATATCCTTTATTCGATCATAGCATAGGTCTGCAGCTTCCTTTAGTGTGTTAACAATTTTTGTGAAGAACTCGTTTGTAGTATTTTTAAGGATTTGAGGAATTGCTCCCTGTTGACATAAACCAGATCAATTGGCAACTTTACAGTAAATAAGTACTGCTAAAACAGAAATGATAAGTGCATTGTACGAAGTACAAACAGAATATAGCTACAAAACAGAAACTAACAAACTAAGTTGCACGGGAATGGACACACAATTTTTCAAAAAAGTAGGGCTCAGACACGTCAGGGACACGTTGACTTAAATTCTTTAAAGTTTCGAATTTATATATTATATCTTTACTATTATAATTTTTTTAATTTTTTTTTTATATAGGACACAGCACACATGCCATGTTGGATACTTGCTTGAGGGGTGTCTCTAAAGCATCCCTCGAGTGTCGGTAACTTAAAACTATAGAAAATGGGACAAGGGCATGTGGCTTGTTGGATACATGTGATTGAGCATCCAAGGAGTGTCCGTGCATCTTAAGCTAACAAATAACCAAAATTAAAACGCAATGGCCAAAAACGAATTGTACAAACAGAAAAAAGCAGTACTTCATTATTTTTATACTTTTCCTTTCATATATTTCAACCAAAAAAAAAGTGAAAAGGAAATCGTCAAACGGCCTAGAGAAGAAAAATTGAAAAAAAGATCCAGAAATACGACAGTATAAGAGAAACAGTGAAGGCGAAAGTAGAAGGTGGTCTACACTTTGGCAATGTGATGCAAAGAAAAGATCCAGAAAATCTACATGAGGAAGAGACTAGAGCATATGCAGAGAGAGACTGAAGTAAAATGTGATTCTGAAGACTCAGTTCTATTTCTGGTTTCTACAACAGTAATTAAGTGACGGATTCAGGCCAAAGTTTCAAGGAAAAAAAAGTTTTCGGGAAACTAGACTTAAAAGCAAGAACTGGATCTAAACTATCCTCCTTAGTATGATTTCAGCCATTCATATACAAAAGCAATGAACCCATAAAACTAGAGAAAGACATTCCAAATTGTCCAAAGTCAGTTGCAACTCAGCTAATAAGACTTCTGATTTCCATATGCTTTTATGGAGCAGGATACTCTCCAACACCGATATCTATCAGCAACCTCTGGTCTTTTTCGCAACCACATTTTATAGCAACTTACCCTGTGCATTATTTCATATGAATATGATGTTTATGTGTACAGGTTGTTTGTTCAGTTGCTCCCAAGTAATACTATGGCTGCCCGTTATTGTGGTGTAAATCATCCCTAAACCCACTTACATATAGTTTTGATAGAAAGATAGAAGGTACAAGACCAACTCATGCTCACATCACATATACTAGAGAATTCCATGAAGACAAAAACACATTTGAAAGAACAAAAGGAACACTTAGCGTATACTGTTTTGAATAGAAAAATGAAAAAATTATATATATATATATATATATATAGAAGGCTTAGAGTGAACCTGAACAAAGGTTGCTGGATTAGAGGAAATATTCAAAAAACTCTTGATGCTATCAACAATCTGCACAAATGAACAAGTGGAATTCACGCGAGTCATTAAAATATCTGTACAAATAAAAAACTATTTGAACCTGAACAAAGGTTGCTGGATCAGAGGAAATATTCAGAAAACCCACGATGCTATCAACAATCTGCACATATGAACAAGTGGAATTCATGTGTGTCATTAGAATATCTGTACAAATAAAAAAGTATGCAGAAACTATACCGCTTAAATTTAAAAGTTAAAAACATGCAAACGCTGACACAATCGTAGTCATTAATACAACTCGTGCTCGGCAGACCTCTAATGCCGCATATTGAAATGCTCCAATCGCTTGTTTTACCTATTATAATATTGCATCTACTGAACAGGCAGCTTACTACTAATAGTGTGTGTGAATATTTTGACATCACTGGAAAGTCTATTATATCATTAGGACAAAAAGAGCATGACCTTTTTCCTTCAATGAAAGAGGAACCCCATACTCAATCTTAGGAAGGGTTATCTAAGTTAAAACTGGTTTATCGGTTTATTCCATCTTCATTGATGAAGCTTTCTCTACTAATTAAGATGTAGAAATCTTGTAATTCAGCAATAGTATTGACATAAGGTAAAGTATCTATCAGTCGCAAAAAAATACAAGCAGCAAGTTTCCAATCCTAAGCCGTGGAACAGTATGCATGTCCTGTAAGGAAGTGTCTCAATTGATCCTGCATTACTTGCAATATGCAAGGCTATTATCTCCTTCAGTTCCAGATATCAGAAACTTTAAGAGGGCATTAAGACAGACAGTACCTCCTGCTCAGACTCATTCAAGCAAATAAAGCCACAGATTGTTTGGATATTGCATCTGTAATCAGCGCTTACGTATCTTGGATTAAAAATTTGTTTCAAGGTACCATTGCAAAAATATCTCCAAAAAAGAAATGGATTTCTTTACCAAGTTAAAATTCCAGGAAGGACTTCCCGGGGATATTATTTCTTATTTATTTGATGGTGCATCTTTGCAATGCTCTATTACAATCTATGAAGCGTAAACATGAGACAGCAGACGACATGACACGAACACGGCGACAGTGATATATATATAAAGAGTAGGATATGGGCATTTTGGCAACCCATGAAAAACCACAGCTTTTTTATCATTACAAAAATTGACTTGCAAAATTTGATCATTTGATGATAGAAACATTTTATCGAGATTTATTGAATAGAAATCCATTAATGTTGTGACAAAACTACTTTTAGATGCATTGCTAAATTTCAGTCTTGCAGAGAACGTTATGCTCTATATGCAAAACTAGCAAACGACAATAGTCATGGAGAGAAGGAATTTGGAAATGGAAAAATTACCCCCTGGTTCTTAAGGATGCCATTTGGATCATTCGTAATAAGCCAACCAAGTCTCCAACCAGGAACAATCCATCTCTTTGATATAGATCCAACTGTAATAATAGGAGCAATTGATCCAAAGATTCCCATTGGAACAAAAGGTTTACTCCCAAAAGTGAGGTGATCATAAACTTCATCAGAGATTACTAAGATCCCAAGCTTTCTTGCAGTCTCGGCAACCTAAGGGATCACATGAACAATCATCAATAAAGTAACAGTAAGACTATAAGCTAAACGTTCAGTTAAATAGTATGTGAATCCCACTCGAACCATGCAATTAGGTACCTTTTTCAAGTGTTCATATGAAAAAACATTCCCACATGGATTGCCTGGATTGATAACAACCATTGCAGCAGTATTTTTATCTGCAAGAGCTTCAACTGCATCAAGATCAACTTCCCAACCTCTTTCCGGAATAAGACCAAAATGTCGGACTTCGAGATGACAGAATCCAGCTCTAGATTCATAATAAGGGAAGCCTGGTCTTGGGAGCAGAATGTTAGCATTGGGGCGAGCAAGAACTTGTAAAATGACTTCTAGGGCTTGAGTACAGCCAATTGTCAGATATACATCGTCCGGAGATAACTTGTATGGAAGATCTTTTGAAAGATATTCTGCTATTGCACTACTCAGAAAATAATAGTTCGAGTTAGATCATTAAGAAGTGGAATATAACCAACACACAATACATGTCTAGTGAATTTTTCAATAAATATGAGCTTATTTAATTTAAAACATGCAAAAAAAAAGTGTGCAATTTCTTTTCCTCTAAATTTTTTATTCTATCAAGTAATCAGTAGAGTGAAATTAAACTCAAGACTATTCAATTAATTTTCTTTTGACTAAAAAGCACAAGTTCTTTCGTCCAATGTCCATTAGAAGTTCCATTCATTGTCTCATAAAATGATTTAGGCCAGTACATTTAGAGAAAATCATCAATTGTGTACTACTGAATAATATTCATCCGTACTGTTCTGGACATACAAGCACTTCCACTATAATGTGTACCTTCGGGCAGGTAGAATACCAACGGTGGAGCCATAACCGTTATACTTGGCGGAGCGTACGGCATCGCAGACGGCATCCACGGCCAAAGGCGTCGTTCGGAAACACGGGAAGGCAGAAGGGTCACCGTGTCCTAGAGGAATAACCGGCCGGGAGTCTTCTGGTTTAAGATTTTCCATCAACGTGTTCAGTACACCTCTAATGGTGATTGCAGAGGCCTTGGTCAGTTCATCGTTGCCGCCGAAACGCCATCGTATCGGTCCGCCGTTCTCCATTGACTTTTCCCCTCTGCTCACTCTCTCTCTATAATCCCCTCAAGCTTTTGGAATATCTTTTAGATTACAGCGGTGAAAATGGAGCAGCCGCCGGCGAAATAAGACAAAGTAGAATGATTGAATTCCGTGGGCATTTCAACTAAATCACTCAACTATAATTTGTCTTACTTACGTCATTAAATTTTGATTTACATTCCAAATTTGCCTCATTTTCCATATTAATTATTCTATTAGTTCTGTTACCATAGCACTATGTGAAAGTGAAATTTGATGCTAATTATTGATGAGAGGTCTTAGTGTATTAACCTAGAAATATAGGTCAAAGAATGATCGAGACAGTAACAATAGTCAACGAAATTATTAATATTATAATATAGTTCATGTTTGTTTCGGATTAAAGATTTTAATCTAATTCAAAGTTAAACAATTATTATTAATCATATCTTTAATGGGTCTCAAAACTTTTCAATCACACATTTCAAAAACTTCTACCACAATTTACTAAAAATCTAATTTTAATCCAGCACCAAATGCCCACTAATTGATGTTTCAGAGATTTGAGAACGATAAATTAATTACCCAATTGAGATTTGACTGAAAGTTCAATGACCAAACATAAAATTCCTTAAGATCCTGCAAAATATGTCACATAATCATGCGATGACTGCAAAATACAAAAATAGATCATGTTTTAAAAATTGAGGTAATTCATTTGTTGGAGATACTCAAATCTCTATTCAGAGCTTGTTTGAGATGAATTAAAATCTAATTAAAATTGAAACTATAGTCGTTAATGAGTCACTCGTCTAATAAAAGTCAACAATAACGATTAATTTTTTAATTTTAATTCGATTTTAATTTCTACCAAACACATTCTCAATGTGTTCATCTTTAATTTTAAAATTTTGCAGTCACAACATAATGGATGGCATATTTATTTAGAAATATTGGCTAATGAAGGATTGGAACTTTATGATGGCTAACATTGAAAATAAATAGAAGTTAGGGTTGTGATTGTGACAAATTAAAATCAGGTGATCTAATTGAAATTTCATTAAAATTTCAATGACCAAAAATGAAATTAACCCAATAAATTGGTGGGCTGGAGATTCACGTCTCATCTAATTCCGTTCCATTATCTGAAAATTTTCCACACACTTACTTTTAACCACCAATCCGTTTAATTAAATAATTTTACAAATAAATCCAAAATTTTACTCATTTTTTAATCAAATATTCTACAAAAAAATAATATTACAAAACTCATTTTTTTTTTTTTATTTAAAATGAAGTTCAAACATAAGCTAAGTTAACTTGTTTGTTAAAAATTAAAATCAGATTTTTAGTAAATTTTAATAAAATTTCAAAAAATGTGTAATTGAAAGATCGGGACACGTGAAATGTGATTAAAATAATTATTGATTTTAATTAAAATTAAAATCTTAATTTTAATTCCTATCAAGGGCTAAATATCAAACAATATAGATTTTAACGTGATTATCAATAAGGTAATTAATTTATTGTTAAGGGGTTTATTACGCCCTTGTTTGATTGTCATTATTTGTTCAAAACAATATTTTGAATAGTAAAATTTTATAGAATGTGTAATTAAAAAGTAGAGAAAAATTTTGGATTTACGTACATAATATTTTATTGTATAAATATATAAAGCTTGTTTGGCAAAGATTAAAATTGAAAATATAGTCGTTATTGGATGTTACTCGTCTAATAAAAGTCAACAATAACGGTTAGTTTTTCAATTTTAATCCAATTTTAATCTCTACTGAACACTCCCATAATTGAAAATGAGTATATTAAATAAAGAGTTTTGAGATAATGGTTTTCAAACCGGAGCTACATAATAATAATAATTAAAAAATGTCGAGTTACATGAAAAAATCAAAGACGGCTTCTTTTTTATGTTTGTCCATCAAGCTTACGAAAACTATTACCAATTAACATCATCGTACGAGTAAAACGAGTTGGGTAGGGTCAAGACAATAAATAAAATTTAATTAATATTTGAAATTTTAAACCTTATTTCTTAGTTTTGAAATGTGTCATACTTGATCTCTTAAATATATGCAATTATATTGCAGTGTGGACCAACTCTAATATTTTTTGGTTTTTCTCCTTGATTTTCTGTTCGTTTTATCTCTTTGTTTTCAATCTTTGATCGAGCGATTTCCAACTATTTTGAGCGAATCTAGTGGGTCTTTGTGAGGTTTCAATTTTGGGTTGAGGTCTTATGGTTCATAGAAGCAATCTATTATGAGGGTATGGGTTTGTGGTTTAACTATGTTATACAAGGGTACAATAAATTTGAGTCTGGTATGTGAAATCTTGATGCATTTGGTAAATTTACGATTAAGGGTTTGTTGTTTCTCGGTCTTTGAAGTGTGATTTTTGTACAATAATTAATATTGATTTAAGTCATTGAAGACCAAAAGTTAGGTAAGAGGAAAAGATGTGGGTATTCTTTCATATATTGAGTCCAATTGTGGTTTTGCATTATTATTCTTCATGAGAATAACATAGTCATAAACATTTTTTGCTTACAAAACCATTTTTCGGTTAGGCATTATGTTGAGGATGCAATTGGGCAATGGCGGATTTAGGATTTTTTGTAGGGGGAGCTGAAAGTACTTAACAAAATCAATGCAATAAAATTTACATATACTAAAAAAATTCATTATAAAACATTATTTATTTAAGTCGTTGCTGACGATGATTTCAAACATAATATTCATTTATAATAGAATCTAGATTGATTTTCTCAGTAAGTTATCTTTGTATAAAAAATATCATACAATCGATAAGAAAGTCATCCTCCATTTTGTTGCGAAGTGTTGTCTTCACATGTTTTATTGCTGAAAATACTCGTTCAGTGCTTGCAGTGGAAACATGTAATATCAATATAAGACGAATCAATCTAGTCACCATAATGTAACTCTCCGACATTTCACTCTCAGTCAATTGTCTACATAACTCGGTGTTCGTAAAATTCCATAAGTGTACGGATCATGACAAGTAATAAAGTTAATTTATTAAGTTTGAATATCATCCCACAGAGACTACTATGTACTATAAATTTTTAAATTAACCTAACTTCAATTTAAATTAAAATGGTAACTATTGATCAAGTTAAATTGTGTTTTCTAAACCAAAGTTCTAATAAATTAAATAACAAACTCAAATTAAAACTATAGATAAGATTATGCAATTGGATAGTTAGGATTTCCGATTTCACTTAGGTTATTTATCATACATTTAATTTCAATTTATTCAACCATTTTTCATACGCGCCAACGATCGAATTAACCTGATGTAGTTAATGATCTCTCTCGAGCAACACTAATCCTATTCATATACCCCAAACTTACTATACCTCTATATAAAATCACGCACATATGAACACATTTATTTATAGGAATTCAACATGGATCGCATGGCCTATAATTATCTCTTGATATCTTATAATGTCTATGTTAATTATTGTACAAATTAGAATTATACATCACCTCTCGATTTCAATATTATCCCTAAATCAATCAATTGTTGCGCAAACAATTGAAGTATTAAACACATAATAATTAATTAACAAATATTAAAGTGACATGAAAATCTTGAAATTAAACATATAGTAAAAACTTTTAAAAAATCATTCATCCTAATAATAAGAGTATTTAGTCACTTATAACATTAAAATTAAACACGCAAAAGTGAAACGACATCACCAAAATTTGACGAAACTTGCCGGCCAATTTCTTCCGGTTGCCCAATGTGTGTATATATACTTCAATTGCTTGTTTCTTTCCTTTACTTTTTGTGCGTGTCTATGGTGTTATATATACATATATAAAAGCAACAACCCTTGTTTTTCTCTTTTCAAGCCGTAATTCTTGACTTCTTCTTTTTCAAGCTGCCGACTCCTCTGTTTTTTTTTTTTTAAATGAACTGGATGTCGCCTCCTTTGCCTTTCTTGTAGGTATATATAATAACAAGGCAAACGAGTCTCTTTTCTAAATTTCTGCCCAATGTTCTCTTTATCTATATATTTAATCTCAAGTCGCCAAATTTTGTATTTGATTAGAAGTCCAAATTGAGGCCCAATTAATTTAATACTTGCTTCCAAGTTCTCGTATTGTGAATTTTTTCATTTTTCAGCTATTTTACATTCTTTTCTTTAATTCTTCATAAACATAAAGTTTTACTTACAAAATACAATATAACATAAATTATGTAGAATTTTATTTAAAAGACAATAAAATATCATGATTTAGAAACTCGAATAAGTGTAAAAACTACACTTATCGCTCAGCATGTGTAGATGCTTGAAACCAAAACTCACCCATTGTAAACTCAAAAATTGAGGAAAAACCATCATAATTGACTAACTAATGTAGATCTATAGTTCAAAGAATTAAAATAATCAGATTCTTAATTCTTAATCATTCTCGACACAAAACTCTCCCGACTTCACCCAATGAACAAAATCAGCAAGAAAAAAAATATACTTTGAAGGGAGTCGACGAGAGAAAATATCAAATACAAATTACTAAACAAGCAAGAAAAAATACCAACCTGCACGTAAACATTCGTTGAGAGTTGACGAGAGAAGATTTGAGGTACGTAGAAATTGCAATTTCAATTCAATTTTTAGAGCTAATCTCTAAAGAAATGACTATTCAAAAGTTGATATAATGAGATTTGGGTTGGGTTATAAAAAAAAATGGATTTACTTTCAACTCAATGTCTAGCAATTGGGTTTAAAAAATTGATGGATTTAGTTGGAATGGGCTGAATTTTCTAAGTGGGCTCGTACAAAAAAATAGTGAAAAATACATGTCTTACCCATTTTATTTACTAATTCAAAATTTACATATTCACATTTTTTAAATCCCATAAATACTGTATTTTAGTAAGTAAAAGTGAAACATCAAAAAACAACTTCAATCCTACAATTAGTTAGTTAACTAGCTTATATCACTCCTCCAAACACGCTAAATAAAATAAGCCAAATTTATCATCCAAAATCCCCAAATTAACATGGAATCATCCAAAATTCCTCAAATCATAGTACCTCATCCGTTCAAAATCAAAACTATGATAACCCAAAAAATTCCAAGACATTCCGAAGATTTCTCATCTTTATATCTCAATCCCTTTTACTCCAAATTTTTAGTATCGATTCCAGTATATTCTCTCTACAATTCAAAGATTATAGTTAAGTACCAAATGTAACATTTTAGTATACAATACAATTTCACAAAACGTGACAAAAAAATTCACTATGAAATCTACCATATATATCATTAATTTGACATAACATCATAAAAAAATGTGATTGATAGATGTAACAAAACGTTACATATGTAATCATTAACTATTCAAGAATCACATAAGAACATATAGTGATTCATAACATTCCATCTTTCATAAATTACGTAATATTACTCCCTTAAACATGCCATAACTACTATAGAATATACAATATGACATTAAAATGAAAATAAGCATTCTATTGTGCACGTAACAATAGTATATTTAAAAATGTTAGGACATTACAAGTTATTTAATGACTTGGAGATAAATATGCCTCTTGATTGCAATTGGTTACCTATATTTATGTTAATTGGGTTGTTTAGTAATTTTGAAATTTTATGTTACAAGACATAGTATTTCTGGAATTAAAAAAAAAAAAAAAAAAAAGTCTTGTGTTTTTGGAATTATCTTTCTATATAATAATAATTTGAATTTGGGTTGGACCGGACCGAACTACAGCCCGACCCCAAATCCGTCTTTGCAATTGGGTGATCCCTTCACTGGGATACTTGCTTCGGTTGATTGCTCATTAGACCGTGTTCTCGTTCAAAGATAAATGTTGAAACATCGTGTTCTCCTTCAAAACATTAAAAAAGAAGTGATGATCATTTAAAATTTTGCCAAAGGACCGAAAATAATTTCCTTTTGGACCATCCTTTATTCTTCTACCAAACGCACTCTATTAGAAGCCTAATGGCTCATCAAAGGATAAGACAGTGACGCACGACACTCGCTGTTAGGCAGACGCGTAGATTTGGAGCCATTAACGTTAAATAAATTGTCGGATAAAGCGAGGGATAGATAAATACAATACCTGTTTTTATTACACTATAATATAATATTAATAGTAATACTAAATAGTCGGCGGCCAGCTTGCTCCTTGTCTAATGTAGTGCCGTATACGTATGTTTGAACAACTCCTCCCCTACTTTTAGTTAACCTTAAAGACTAGTATTCTATAATCATTTGTACCAACTTTAATTATGTCTAACATAACATCAAGGTTTTTAAAATTAGCGTACTTTTGAATTTCCAAGTTTCAACCTTCAAAATTAAATATTTGAAACGTAAAGATTAAAATCGCACAAGATTTTCTCATGAACCACTTGACGTTTATCTTTAAGTTTTGAAATTTAATTATTGAATTCGGAAAAAAAAAATTATTACAAGCGTTCAGAATATATAATTGATCGGATCATTGATTTTAACACCAACACTAAGGATTTTCATTGCGTAAACGAACAAGATTTATGGATTTAAATAGGTTCAGTACCTAAAATCTCATTATTGAAAATATAAAGAACACTAAACAACATTATTTCAAAGATTGGAAAATCTAGACTAATTTTCTCTAAAACATTTTATTAAATTTGGTTAGTTTTGCCATAATCATATTCAATCAATTTATAGTCAAAGAGTAATTATATTCACACTACAAATTTTTTTATATTTGCACCATATTTTAATTGCAAAAAAGATTTACAATATTTGCTCACTTTTGTTTTTATGTCCTCAACTTGTTTCTCGTCGCATTGTCATTCTTAACCTTTAATTAATTAACATATTTTGTTTCTAATCACAAGTTTCATCCAAATATTCTACTAACGTGTATTGAAAAGATGAATAAATATTTTGTTAAACTTTTGTGTTGGTTATTTATTTTAGTTATATAAAAGTACGAGAGATAAATGTCTTTTTAGCCCTCGTAACAAATATTATCGACGAAAATCGTTTTTATAGACAAGATGTGAAACTTAATAGAGGGTTGGTGAATAAATTATTATTATTATTATTTTTTTAAAGTTGAGAACTTAAGTGTAAAATTAAAAAAAAGTATATGGATATTCATTGTAATTAAGATGTGGTATAGACTATGAATATATGTATGAATAACGTTATTTATCGTTGTGAAGATAGATTATCGGTGATGTGACAGTTTATGCAGAATAATACGATTGGGTAGTTCAATTTTTTTATAAAAGATAGGAGAGGAGAGAGAAATGTGAAGAATAATGATTTGTCATATCATTGCTCCATCATAACGATGATAAATAATATTATTTTATACTCAAGTTAAGTTGTCGTGAAACATTATACATAAAGATACACTGTGCAGTGTGCGAGGAATATAGGCAGAAATAACCCAATTGCCGGCGCATCAACGCCCTAAACGTGCCACGTGCCCCTGTTTTAGGCCCACAACCCACCATTACTCTTATCAATCAACACACTACGCGCAGCCACGCACCCACACTCTTTCTCTCTCTTCACTTGGGCGGCGCCCCTAGTCAAACCCCTCGTTGTCTCTCTCCTCTCTCCTATATAACAGCGTCCATTTTCCCTCAATCTGTAACCCATTTTCACCACTAACTTTTCTCTTCAGTGGGAGATTTCGAGATTTTTTTAATGGCGGTAAAGGAGAAGGCTAATAAGGCAGTCAATGGCGTTAAGGAGAAAGCTAATAAGGCTGTTAATGGCGTTAAGGAGGTGCACTACAGGGGCGTGAGGAAGAGGCCGTGGGGCCGTTACGCGGCGGAGATCCGTGATCCCGGGAAGAAAAGCCGTGTTTGGTTGGGCACGTTCGACACGGCGGAGGCGGCGGCGCGTGCTTACGACGCCGCCGCTCGTGAGTTCCGTGGATCTAAAGCTAAAACTAACTTCCTTCTACCATCGGAGGTGCACAGCCCTAGCCAGAGCAGCACCGTGGAGTCATCAAGCGCCGGAGCAATGAATACTCATCCGCCGGTTGAGCTTGATCTCACGCGCCTCCTTGGAGTAACTTCCACCGCCACCGCTGTGAATGGGTATCAGTTTTTTCGTTACCAGCCAGCCATGGCGGTTTCGCCCACTGGACATCCGGGTCTTTACTCTGATCTGCCTCCAGGATACCGGCTGAATACGGCGGCGGCTCAGTTTCCCAACAGCGGCGGCGGCGGCGTGCATAGTGATTCGGATTCTTCCTCTGTTGTTGATGAGAATCAAATCGATAGAAAGAGAGTTTTGGGTCTCGATCTTAATCTACCAGCCGCCGTGGATGAAGCTTGAATCTTCATAGTGAAACAGACTAACTTTTGATTGTAAATACATAAAAATATTATTGCGTTTTTCTCTGATTGTTTATCACAATTATAATCGGCAATTAGGGCTTTTGATTCAATGTATTTTCTCCATTTACTTTTGGTTATATTTTCGAGCTTACATAATTTTCTCTATTTACTTTTGTGTTTAAAAAGTGAACATAAGAAATTAAAATAATTAAGAAGATCATTAATCAATAATCATACTTCTTAAAAGTTAATCTTAGCTTGCCAATAGCCGTCAAGTCTCCATATATGAAACATAAAATAAATTATTACAAAAATTAAATAAAAAGAATATAGATTCCAAAGAAAAGAAATCAGCTAGTCGAGAGTACTCTTTAGATTTAGCCCTCGTTTAAGTCCCATTTTTTCTCATTCCATTACATTAATTTTTTTCTCTCTTCATCTCAACCACACATTCTCAAATAAAATAATATTACACACAAATCTAAAACTTTTCCACCACATAAAATAATATTTCTTATTTTTAACGGAAAAACTAACGGAATTTGTTGATTTAACGGATTATGTAACGGAATTTCTTGTTTTAAACAGACAGCTGCACATTTATTCAGTGTTATTATCATAACTTTGTATTTCGATATCCGATTGAGGCGATTCAAAATGCGTTGGAAAGCTAACTCATCTGACTACAAATTTGATTCAGACATCATTCTCCAATTCGATCACTTTCTATGCCAAAAATAGGTTTCAATATGAGACTAAAATATCGGAGCATAACTTTTCGGTTGTAAATTGATTTATGATCATCTTTTGACTAAATTTGATTCCATTGACGTCTTCTTTTATCCAATTGACTTCGAGCACTCTCAAATTTTCATCGTGAGGTTCGGCACAATTTGTAAGTATTTACATTTTAGTCCCCGAACTTTGGACCCCTTAGAATTTAGCCATTTTCTCTAAATTTGTCAACTTTTACTTATTTTCTTCGATCTCACCAACTTACATCACAACATCAAAATCACACATCTAATTATTTATCAATTACATAAACATTACATCATTAATTATTTAATTAACAAAAAATTACATTTTTATTAATAACAAATTAATTCTTAAATAAAATTATTAAATATAAACTAGGCAAACGTGCATTGCACGTTGCTTGCACCTAATATATAGACAATCGACAATACCACCTAAATAATTGAATTGAACGACCATTCTCATGAAATAATATTCACTAATAAAAAATTATGTGTCGATGTGTTAAAATTAGGTGGGACTATAGCTAAACGAGACAATAAAACTCAAATTCAGATCGAATAATAAGAGAGAAAAATAGAAATTTAGAGTGTGTTTGGCAGTGATTAAAATTTTATTTTTAGTAGATTGTGATAGAATGTTTTGAAATGTGTAATTGAAAAATTGTGGGACTCATGATAGAAGTGGTTAATATTTGATTGTTTGACTTTGACTGAAAATAAAATTTGGTTTTAACCCTGACAAACAGGGCTTTAATTGAGCAATGAAATGAAATGATAATTGTGGTCAAAGAGTAAAAGCAAAGAAAATCAAGTGCACTCAATGCCACCGACAGCATCCTAAAATGGGTCCCATATCCAAAAACACCGTGTTTTTTTGGTACATGTTGTGAATACGTTGGATGGCACGTGTTACTTTATTAATACTTTGCCGTCCATTAAATCCACCAAATATATTTAGTATTTTTTAATATATTTCTTAAAGCGCGTACGAGATGGTGAGGCGACACCGCGGTGGGCCCATGGTGGAGACTTGGAGTTGGGGTCGCGCCACCGGCAGCCGCTTTTGGTGGGGCCATTAGCTGCAGGGGATTATGTAGACTTTGGATTCACCTTTTTCCTTTTGAATTTACGGGTAAATTTCATCTCCACTCACTTAACTTTTCAATAAAATTTAAGCTTCTAACTACAAATTAAATTTTTAATAATTTTTGACAAATATCAATAAAAATATGTAATTAAAAAGCTTTTTTTTTTTAAACAATAGGCACCAAATAAAGTCGATGAACTTTAATTTAGTTTCAAATGCTAAAAATTTCATCCCACGTCTTCATTCAAAATGATGAAAACTGCTTAATCGACAGTTATGCAATAATTGACTAATTATTAAGAAAATAGTAAAATTAGGGTTGTGACAATATATAAATTAGGAAAATGTTATTGGTACATAGCATTTTTCATAAGGGTTCACATAAGGGGCACATGGCGCCCCTCCATTGGCACATGGCGCCCCTTCAATGGAGAGGCGCCATGTGCCTCTTATGTGAAGGATTATGTACCCATAGCATAACTCTATAAATTAAAAGGTTAAAGTGCGTATTTATTTCATTTTAACACTTTTGACGCAATATATGGATCAGTAAACATGTCTTTTTTGTGGTGGCACGGAGAATCCATTGTTATCTGACTTTCAATTTCATCAATTTGAGACACGACATATTATAGAGTTTTGAAATTGGAAATTAAATTGAAGTTTAGTGATCTAATTAAAATTAAGTTGATATTAAGTGATCTATTGAGATTATTTGAAGGTTATCGAGTCAATTAAAAATTCACTTCTTTTGACTTAGCAGCCCCGTGTCGGCATTTCGAGATATGGTAATAGGGAATATAAGTTCTAATTTTCATTGCTCGTTCTTGTCGAAAGTTGAAAAGGTCAAAGTAATTAAAATTAACAAAGTCAAACCAATTAATTAGGGGCAAAATGCACAAGATAATCTGATCTAGCTCAACTTCGGGAGTATCCCTTGATTTTGGGTATTAAAATTGTTCAACTTGCGAACGCAACTACTTATTTAAAATTTAAAATTTATTCAACTTTCGAAGCTAGAAAATTGACCTTTTAAAATAGTAGTAAGCATCTGACTTTCCACGTTCCGCTCACAAAAAAAAAAAAAGATATACTAAGAGTACCATCAATCTAGGACGGTTTTTAATAGAAGCGTAGTGATGGATATATAACTTGTTGTATCAAAAAATGATTTAGTTCATATTTTTCCTTATTTTCAAAAACTTATTTTTTTTCCTGAAATTCATTTTTAGTCACATATTTTATAGAACCCACAAAATTTATCAACTTTTAATTAAACCAAACATGGACTTAGGGCCTGTTTGGTACGACTTAAAATCCAATTAAAATTGAAAATATAGTCGTTATTGGATCTCACTCATCTAATAAAAATCAACAATAAAGGCTAATTTTTCAATTTTAATCCAATTTTAATCTCTACCAAACACCCTCTTAATCATGCATCAAAATATGGTAGCAAGATCCCTAGATTTAGAATTGATTTTATTTTATTTTATTTTTAAGTTCTCAGCTAAAGGGATTGAAGTGTCACACTGTCGAGTCATTTTCCACGTTGGGACAGTTGACACGTATGTACATTGATAGGCTTTTCACGACACACGTGATGTTGGATCGGCCACTCTTCTGACGTTCGGCCAATCCCACTAAACATATCTAACGTGGGCTTCATTTCCTCGTTCTTGGATTTGAGCTTTTGAGGAGCCTTAGTTAATCTTCTTCCTTTGATTTTGGGCCATTGTCTCTTTATTGGGCCTTTCCTTTGGAAAAATGCAAAGAGAAGGAAGACATTTATCTCAAAAGTTATTACGACAAGGTAAGTTTTGTCAATTGCACATTTACTGATCGAAAAAGTGCACATTTTTTACTCCGAGTACCGAACACATCACAATCGAATTGGAGTTCACTTACTATTCCGTCCACATATAGATTCATGGACTTCCGCATAGAAAGAAACAAACAAATATGAAAACTTGGAGTGGATCATTGAGCATATGAAAACAAAGGCATATGGGCATGTTATGGGGATAAAGACACAACAGTATCCCCCACTCAATTAAAGTTCACACTGCATTGCTCGTGAATTTGTGACAAGAACCCACCTAACCCTACAATCCTATCCTCGGATTCGATAGATATTATTTTAAGAAATCTTCCCTACAATTCTCGCTTTCCAACACATAATTTCCCCTCCTAGGAAACACACGACACTATCATTCATATCTCCAAACAAATTACAGTACATTTGCACCTCAACACTCTAATTAATTCGATTCATCAAATCAATCACTAAGACGAGGAAAAAGAAAAGAAAAACCTTAGCCATTTAGCGTCGTTTTGTAATCTAACATCATAGCTAAAGGAAACTATTTCACGAGTTTTACGAATTTGAGATGAAACTCAAATATTCCTTCCGTTCAAAGCCTCTCTTCACCAATCAAAGGTCAACTTAGGGATAAATTTGTTTACTTTTTGGTCAAATAATCCATGATTGGATTGAGTCATAATAATCTCTCTATAAAAATAAAATACAACCAAAAAAAAATAAAAAGAGGAGAATTCAAGATTTTGATTAAATTCATAAGAGAAATATTACAAGATTATTACCAACACCTTAACACAAGAATTCAAATTAAAAGCAACAATATTTAAAAATTCTCCACAAAATATGAAAATAATAGGACCCGCCCTTATAAACAAATATCTTCATTATTTAGGTTAAGAGATCATTGACCCATCCAAGATCAGGTCCACCCAAGCTATTGTCTTCCATCAAATTTCTTGCACAAAAATCCCCATCCATGAACAATTTGCTATTTCCATTCATGAATTTAGTACTCGATGAAGTCGAAGGAGATAAAATGAACCGAGGTTGTTCATCCAACAAAAAATTCACATCGATCCAAGGGAAATTACCTTGAGAGGAATCATTCACATTCATGGCTTTGAATGAGCTCATCAAATCACTCATTGCATCTTTATAACTCGGTTGTCCGGCCGAAGCCGAAATAAAAACCGGTGAATTTTGGCCTGGAGAGACCGGGGGAGACAAATTGGACATACAAAGTAAAGTTGAAGTAGGAGAATTAGTAATCGAATGACAATGAACACAGCAATTGTGTTGCAATTTCTCGATACAAACTGAAGATGGAGTGCGAAGCTGACGGGCAGAGTGTGCGAAAAAACAAACCTTTCGCTGGCAATTCTTGCCGTCTTTACACGCCTCGGTTCGATACCGAGTTGGGTGTAGCCAAGACTCGAATACCCCATGCGAGTACTCGCATAGATCTCCCTTTCCACAATAGCCTTTACGAAACTCAGCACATACAGTTCCAGTATAGTTATACTTCCTCGGATCCCTTCGCCGAGCCTTTTCTCCGGGATGCGCGAAGGGACAATCCATCCAGTCGTGGCTCCTACTCCGTCTACACTTTCGCACCTTAAATTCGAACATTCTGAAATCGTCGGCTGAGTAAGGGTCATCCTCATCGTCATCATTGTTATATGGCAAGAATCTCCGGGAAATAGCCGCTTCAGCTTTTGGGGACTCCATGAAAAACTCCACTGCCGCCGCCGTGGAGCGGCGGTCAAGGAGTTTTCTCGGTGGAATTTCGATACTTTTCTTGTTGGAATAAAGCTGGTGAGAGTGATGAAACTCGTGTTGCATCTCAGCACAAATACTACCCATCTTAAGAATTTTGTGAATGAAATGGAAGAGTTAAAGAAGGGATATATATACAGAGAGATATAGAGAGAGAAGATTCTAGAGAGAGAAAGAGAGAGTGACGAGGATAGTGTGAGGTACGGCAGAGAGGTGCGTGGCTTGATATTACTAAGGGTTTTTACATGCAGAATGGTATATGTGGCAGCTCGACATTATACACTGCATGCAAGACTCCATGTTTCGATTTTAGGTGAAGCAATTTGTATTTTTATGAGGTTTTCATATCCTCACCTTTAAGTTAGAATGGCTTCAATGACAGCAAATCACGCGGTAAGATCGTCCACTCAAATTATGACATTTTGAATCTGAATGGATTGGCTCGACCCACTATGTTTAGGTATTGATTGAGTAGTTCCAAATTCGAAATGTTATGATTTAAGTAGATAATCATATTGCGTACATGTAAAATCATTTCACTGAAGTATTTTTCTTTTCCAAATCTTAAGAATTCATATATTTTCAAATATTTATTTTTATACATGTTTCAATTGAATGAACATAAAAAAAATTATTTTTGACACAAACGAATCTTAAAATTAATCGATCATATTCAGTCTTTATGATAGATCCAATATCTAGTTTGCATCAATAGGTTTTGAGTTCGATAGATTAATCAAAACACTACGAGAGTCGAATTTGCCATTATTGTTTTTCAAAGCTCTATCAATACAATCATACTTAAATTTCCTTCAATTTTATTATTATTATTTTTTTAGAAATCACTCTTAATTATCAATCTTCTTATATGTCCAGCTTCTTAATTTTTCCTCTTACTTCAAAGTTCTTAAATCAAGATTCGAAGATGGCTCAAGCCCTGTAAGTCAAACTAATCCAAGTTGACAAATAAACACTTCATCTGTCCCATTTATATATGCTTATTTTGTTTTTCACACGGATTAAGAAATCTTATCTAATGTTATTGAAAAAGACTAGTAGTTTTGTCAAAAACTTTCCTAGTTTACTCTCATTTAATTATCAATAACTAGTAGTAAATTATTATTTGAGTAAAATTCACTTTAAACTCAATTTATAAGATAAGGCATAATTGCATGAATTGTTTCTTTCTCAGTTTCAGCTCATAATATATCTCTAGTCATTAGAGGTGGTAAACGGGTCTAGCTGCTTGTAAAAATAAGGCTCGTGCGAGCCGAGTAGGCTGACTCGCGCCCAAGCGAGTGGCTCGTGAGCTCGTAAATTGGCGAGCCACAAGCATTTGAATCAGTGACCGAAAAGGTCCCCGACGAAAGTTCAGTGACCAAAACGGTCACTGAACTTTTTTTCCCTTCTTTTTTTCCTATAAATATCCATTCTATTCCCCTTTTTTTTCCTCCCAACTCTCACTCTCTACTCTCTAAACTCTTCCAAATTTTACATTATAAATTATAATTTTCATTTTACAATATATCTTCTAGACTACTACATAGTCTACATTCATTTCTCAATTCTATTTCTACATTCAATTTCAATTATCACACTATAAATTTTCAATTACAATCTTACACGTCAACCCTTTTTTCAATTTTCAACTTGTTACTTACTATACATTTTATATTAATTAACAAATGGATCCACACTCATTTGTTGAAAGCTTTTTCGGTGTCGGAGGTGAATCACCTATCACTCCGCAGGTCAATTCCAGAATGAATTTGCCAATCTAAACGAAATTCATATTCCTAAAAATATTTTGGATTTCGATGCTCATGGAAGCAGCAATCCAATTGATTCGGATGACGTTGATATTTTTGAGGCGGAATAGGATGATGAAATTTGGTAGTCCAGACACCGGTTCTACTACTACGCCACTTTCTACGTAAATGTATTCGGAGGAGAAAGCTCGAATGAGAAGAGTAAAGTTCGTTGCTGCTGCTGCTGAATTGCTTCTTACATTAGCGGACAACCAACATTTCGTCTCGTACGTGAAAGGACATCTTCAATCGAGGTACATTAGAGTAAGTCGAAACACTCTTCGTTCAAATACAATTGAATATTTTCTTCATACAAAAAAACTATTGATTGTCGATTTAGAAAAATATGGGGGTGTTATATCTCTAACTTCAGATATATGGGAAGTGTAATATAAAAGATGTTATATAGTTGCAACTGCACACTACATAGACTTACTTTGGTGTATGCATAAAAAAAATTATTGTTTTTAAAATTATTGAGTTCCCCCATAACGCTAACAACATATTTAACGCTATTATGAACATTATTAGAGAATATCGTTGTGAGAGTAAAATTCGCTCATTTATATTCGACAACGCTAGTGTTAATAAGATAGTTATCGATAAATTGTGCAGAGTACTGCAACTCGATTTCGGTGGTTATTTGTTTCATATTCGATGTGTGCGCCATATTTTAAATTTAATAGTGCATGACGGTTTGAACTATTAAGAATGAAATTCAAAGAATTAGAAATGATACTAGTGTATATCACGATTTCACCTAATATAAAACATGCATTTGATGAATTTTGTGTTGAATCTGGGGTGACGAATACGAAAACATTTATTAGTAACGTAGGACGTAAACTCCACTTACTTATTGTTAAAATAATGCGAATGTTTTGAACATTTAATAACTGAATTTTATAACAATATGCATATTAGAAACGATGATGATACTATTTTGATTGAATTCGATTGGATTTTAGCTTTTAAAATTAAAAAAAAAAATTGACAAATTTTTATGATTCTACAAATATTTTTTTTGGAGTTTACTATTCTACTGGTTGTATGGTACTTGAACGTCTTTATATAATTGTTAGGGCTTTTCATAGATATAAAAATGACTCCGAATTTAGTGCAATTATATATTCTATGGAATTAAAGTTTAGAAAATATTGAAAAGACTTGCCTATATTTATTTCCGTTACTATGCATCATGGACCCCCCGATATGATTTATCGAGTAGTAAATTTGTAATTGATCAAATTTCAAGAGCTTTAACTTTTTAATATACCTATCACTTTTAGAAATTTAGAACAAATTTTATGTGAAATGTATGAATTATATGCAAAACGAATGAGTACAAATATTAATCGGTTACTCTCTGCACCTACTCGTCTCATTGATATACTAGAAAACTATGCTAAAGTATTAACTTTATTTGAAGGCATTAACTCGTATACATATGATTCAAATGCATGCGGTTCCTCTAGTAGTAATTTGTGTATCGCATGTAATCAAATATCGAACGCAAGTCCAAATACATTGCATGCTGAATTAATTGATTACTTTAATCATAATATGCCTAATAACCAAACAATTAAGAAAAATTTAGAAGAGATAATTAAATTCTGGCGAAAGTACGAACGATGATGACTAGTGATTTCTGCGATGGCAAAAGACCTAACACATTTGGTTGACACTGTAGTTTCGAAGTCTTTTTTAGTGCAGGTAAGAGAGTTCTGTCCGAGGCTAGGAGTCCACTGAAAGAAGATATTTTGAAAGTATTAATGTGCGTGAAAGACGACAAGATGGTCATTTTCGACTGCAAGATAAATATGCCGAAATTGTATATCGTCAAGTAAGTGATATTTAATTTAACCGTATTAATCCAAAAAAATTTATTTTATAATACCTTTTTAATTTTTTTTTAAAAAAATTGTACACGTAACAAATTGTTCGTGTACAATTTTTAACTCCATCTACTCGAAATTAAAGTAGCTCGTCCCAAGTCTGGATAAAGGAAAATGGTCTTATCTTTTTTTTAAAAAAAATTTAAAGAAAATGTTTATCTTTAAAAAAAATAAAAATAAATAATACACGAGCTCGTGAGCCAAAACTCGGCTCGACCCACGAGCCTAGCAAAAGCTCGACTTGTGACGAGCATGAGCCGAACTCGTGCGTATAAGGGCCGAGCCGGCTATTGCCACCACTATTAGTCATAAGTGATTATCCCATAAAAACACTTAAGGATCTGCTTGTGAGTTTTGTCGTACTAGTTATAAGTGTTTTTTAAAATACTGATTTTGAGGGTATAAGCGAATCTATTTTGAGCAATTTTAATAGCTGTTTTTAAAAATATCCAACATATGTTTAAGAGTTTATTATCCCCTGGTTCTGAAAGTTTTTCAAAAGAATAAAATTACGTATATATTCCTTAGTAAAATTTTCTTTTATATGATTTTTTTTAAATCATAAGTGATGTTTTACTTATAGATAATATTATATATAAGTTAATACTTAATTTAAAAAATTAAATAAATTTAAGTATTTACTTTCAATTTTAAGTTAATACTTTTTACTCATAAGTAAATTTTACAATTTGAAGTTAATTTTATACTTTTAAATCACTCTTTAAGTGAATTTTTAATTATAATATAATTTTTCTTATCTTACCATTAATATTTTACTTATAAATATTTTTTTAAATGATAAATAATTTTTTAATTAATATATTTTTATTTACAATTTAATTTTGAATAAAATAGGTTGGCTGTAAATAATTATTTTATAAAAACTAAAACTAGAAGAGAATATGAAAAACGGTTAGAACCTGCAGAATTAGTGGGTTAAGAAAACACCTTAAAATTACACCAACCCAAAAAGCACTAGCAAGTACCAAGTTTTCCAATCCCTCATAAACAGTGCCACTCAAACCCATCAAAATCGGTAAAAAAAAAAAAAAAAACTCCCAAGCATGCCCTTATCAAACCTCAGAAAATCTAGATCTTCACATATATATATAGACTGTAATCTGAGACGCAACCTGTCTTTAAACAAGAGAAATAACTTATGGCCAATACACAAAACAACACGATTTGGTTTATGGGAACTTCACTCCTTTGAACATCGTCACATAAAGCATAATGCCAAAAGAAAGAAAATGTACAGATTACTGAAACCTGACAACAATGCATGAGATATCATCCTTGCTTTTCCTAGAAATAGCCTCCTCGACCAAGTGCTTTGCAGCCGATTGAGCACTCTTAATGTTTCTGATGGATTCAACAGCTTCTTGATTTGACATCACCTACCAAAAAGTGTACAAAATTAACTAGAGAATTACAATTGTAACTGTAGGTTTCTCAGATATCCCACCTTCCATAATCCATCGCTAGCTAAAATGACAAACTCTACGTCTTCATCTACTATCTCGACTGCAACGTCTGGTTCTGAGCTAAGATGTCTCTTCAAGCTCTTGTCACCAAATGCCCTGGCCACTGCCAGCTGACCATCAACTCGAGGAACATCACCTGCAGCAGGAATCACAAAATCTCAGCTTAGATGAATAAATCGATCTGATGAGCATGGTTGGGTGGGGCTTACAAAAAAGATCTATCTTATAAGTAAATTGAAAAAAAAAAACACATACACGTGTGGATTTCACGTGCTTGTAAGTACAATAAGAACATATGTTTGGATGGGTTGTGCTTATTTATAAGCTTTTGGCGAGGGGAGAATTGCCGAAATGCCCATGGGGGTTTTAACTGAGCCCCTGTTTGTCTTACATTAAGTCAGAGCTCTTTTTTCTTAAATTTATTTTCAACCATACATTCACACAATAAAATTTTTACACGTAAACCCAAAACTTTTTCCTACTTTTTAACCACACATTATAAAAAAAAAAATACTATTCCAAAACTCATTTTCCCAAAAATTTTAATGGAAGAGAAACATGGGCTGAAGGCCTGTTTAAGCCCCAGTATTCTCCAAGAATGCATTTTAGAATAGTGATTGATGGAGAATTTATGGTTTAAAAATAAGGAAAAGTGTTGGATTTACTTGTAATATTATTTTATTGAAGAATGTGTAATTGAAAATAAGAGGAGAAAAATGTATTTTAGAAAAATGGGGATCAAACAAATAAGCCAGCTTCTTTTTATCAAATTTCCAAGAAATAAATTATAATTATACAGTAATATTCTGTGAAATTTTAAGTTACCCTTTTGGCGTGATTTCTCTTCTGTAATGAATGAGGTAGTTTTCTCTGATAACACAAGGTCGATGATAAATATTAAGATAAAGAAGAGTAAATTCATAATTCATTTGGTCAAACTATCTTACTAGGATAAGTTGGATGAGTCTAGCTTATTGCTTAATCCAATTTGGGCTTGAATATAAGCCATCGTATAATTAAGACATGTTTAGTGGATTTTGAGCTTATAAGCTAGGTTGACTGTTTATAATTTGCACCCAAACCTAGAAGGGCATTTTAAACAATACATTGAGCTGCATCTGAGGGAAAAATACTAGCAGTTACAGCAGTTATATGACTTCAAGGGTCAAGAAGTCGACAATTGTAAATTCTTTCAAGCATCAATATCATTCAACTTTCACAACAAGTATAGAGAATACCTGGAATGTTTGATACAAAGCCACCCTTTTTCTCGATCATCGACTTTTCCCTGCTCGGTTCATGGTCAACTGATATTTGTTTCGCAACACCCTTCTTACATATGACGGCCCGAGAGTCCCCCACGTTTGCAACTACCAGTTTGTTCCCATCCATCAATATTGCAGTAACTGCAGTCGACCCTCCTTTCCCCAAGTGAAAGGACTGCTCCAATATTTCGTTATCTGTGGTCTTATAAGCTCTTCTTAATGCCTTCTCTGTGTCGGTCCAAAAATCATGCTGTTTAAATAAAGAGTGGAAAGGAAGATCAAATAAGAGAAGAATGTCGAAATAGCCATTATTTTGGGATATTAAGGAGATGAAAAAGAAGAAATAATATGATTACCTGCTTCAGAATATTTTCAAACAGGTGCCCTTGCAAGTATTTTGCAACGTCATGCCCCATATGCCCATCGAAGATAGCAAATAGACCCAACTCATTATCGTCCAATTTCTTGAATTCAGAAACTAAACAATCTTCCATAGCATGATTTGATTTTCCTTTCTCAAGATAGAAGCCACAAGTAATGTGCTTCGAGGATTTACTTTTGCCTTTTCCCGCTTCCGGTGTAATTGAAGTTGAAAAACATGCTTTTTCCTGAATAATTGTAAAAATAGTTAATCCGAAAAATGTAGCAAGTCATCGGTAAACAACCATCAGAATAAGACCCTGCATAAGACACTCGGATCTTTAGGAGGTACATTGAGTTGAGAATTTGTTGTGATTTAGTAAGAGTATGTTTGGTAGAGTTTATAAGCTATGGGATCTATGAAATGTGTGGATAATAAGTGATTAGTGCATTTAAGTGCTTATAAGCTATAGATCCTACAAAATGCTTGGATAATAAGTGGGTAGTAGTTGTTCAAACTGTGTGGAAAAAATGTATTTGACCAAGTTGTGCCAAACATGCACTAAATCAGATTACATTGGTAATGTACCAAATAGACGATAAGGAAAAAAAAAGTACCGCGTCCAATGACAATTAAATCAACAGTGCTAACCTGCAAGTAATTCCAATTCATAACAATGTGACATACAAATGCACCCAAAACATTGATTTCCATAATGCAATAAAAATTTGAATATTTCTTAACCACTGAAACTTTTTACAGAAATTTCTCAACCTCTGTTTGACTCTCTTTATTTTTCGTACTTATTTTCAACCACACATTTATACAATAAAATATTTTGCACGTAAACCCAAAACTTTACTCACTTTTTAACCACACGTTCTCCAAAAATCACTATTCAAAACATCATTTTCCCCCATTTCTCTTTATAATGGCCATCAAACAGGGAACCTATTGAGTTACTTGAGTACTTGCTACATTTTTTGGATTGCTGAAAGAGAAGCAAGGGTGTTGACAAGATGCGGTAAAGTTGATGGGAACCTATTGAGTCAAGCTAGGAGCATCAAGTCATTATCTGGCACCACTTCGCATTTCTTTGATGCCAAACTCTTGTCCAATCCTCTTAGAAGTGATTTCCATATAACTTTCAATCCATATGGAGCGGCTGATTCTTTCATTGTGGGAAAAGACATGATGTCCTGCTCAACAAATGAACCGTGCTATACCACTATAAACAGTGAACTTATACTATTAAATCTCCTCTCAGCCCAACCCCTAGCTTGGTTTAAGTTCCCCCTTTTTCTGTTAGGGTCCGTTTGATTGCAAGGGTGAAAAATGGGTGGAAAGAAAATGAATTACAGGGAAAATAATTGTCTAGAAATTATTTTGCAGGGAATTGTTAATTAAGTGTGTTTGATTGGTATAATTTTTCACCCGGAAAATTTTTGAATTTTGTGTTCGTTTGGCCTTCGTTTGCATCAAAATTGTCCATTAAAGTGATAATTTTTTTTCCACACTTGATTATAAAATTTATTTCCATTGCCAAAAAGTAAAAAAAAAAAAAAAAAAAAAAAAAAAAATTTTACAAAAAAAAAAATTTTTTTTACTAATTTTTTTGTTTTATATGGAAATTGTCCATTAAAGTGATATTTTTTTCCACAATTGGTTATAAAATTTGTTTCCATTGCCAAAAAGTAAAAAAAAATGAACAAAAAAAAATGTTTCCTAAAAAATCTTTTTTTATCAAAATTTAGTGTTCGTTTGCATCAAAATTGTCCATAAAAGTGATTTTTTTTTACACTTGATTATGAAATTTGTTTCAGGCCATCAAACAAGACTTTTGCAAGGAAAAGGAAAAGAAATTCCATTTTCCATAGAAAAGGGGTGTTATCAAACACACCCTTATTTCCTAAACCTTATATCTTGAGATTGCAAACCCAAAATTTACTTCTCTCAGTCAATGCTACATAGATGAACTTTGTACATTATCTCTTCTGCTATAAATTTCAAGTGGCTGAGGACCCCTAATTGAACAGTTCTAGATATAATCATTAAATCTCGAAGTGTACATTATCATAGACTTTTTAGTTTTTAGCCATATCAATTATTTGTAAATATATGTTCTTTGTTAGCATATTACTAACTTTCGACATAGAAGGTTTAAATGCATATAAAACCTCATTCTGGTAATGATGATCAAAAGATGCTTACAAGAATGATCCTAATATAGGAGCTCTAATCCATGGTTTATCCTACAAGTGACATAAAATCAAGCACTTGCTGGCATAAATATTAAAAAATAAAAAATAAAAATTCAAACGTGGGAAATTGGATAGATATAAATGGTCGGATTTATGTGGACTGCTTGCCTAAGTATAACTGATGATTTTGATGGTAAATTATTGAATGAAAACTCCGACAAGTGAAAACCCATCTTTCAATGCATTCCTCAACTCCATAAACTTTACTAGTAACAATCCATTCTTCCAGCTCCACTACCGTTGAACCGAATCTCAATATGATCTAACACTCCAATATCCCATCACTAAAGTTGCTTAAGTATCCCTTGAGCAGTCCTTTATTCGTATCTGATGGAGAAGGAACAATTTGACAAGCATCTCTTGAACAACCATATGTTATCTACACCAGGAGAACACCCCATGCCACCCCCACCCCTACCCCTCCAGACTGCATCTCATGGTTTACAGTCAAACATGAATAAACAAAGGGGATATACTTATAAATCCATCTTATTACATGTAAGCAAAATAATTAAGCAAAAATCGATTTAGCTCCACTACTGCTGAACCCAATCTCTATATGATCTAATACTCCAACATCCCATAAAAGGTGGCTTAAGCATCCTCTTCAAAGAGTCCGTTTATTCTCTCAATCTAAGGTTTCAAAAATATACGGACCACAATAGTGTTCTCTGATGGAAAAGGCACAAATTTGACGAGCAACTCTTGAACTATCAAGCTATCATGTGTTATTATACCAAGAGAACACCCCCACCCAACCCAACGCCACACTGCATAACATAATTTACAATCAAACATGAATTGACGTTGATCTTGTTAAGAATTTTATATTACATAAGCTATCTACACCAAGAGAACACCTCACCCTTGACCCCCACCCCACACAGCATATCATAATTTACAATCAAAGATGAATAAACAAGTGGAATATCCCTATAAATCCGTCTAATTACATAAGTATGCCGAAAAATTAAGCAAAAATAGAAGTCAACACAAGAATTGACCTTCATCTTGCTAGGAACTTGTTATTACTTACTTATGTTATCTACACCGAAAGAACCCCAGATCGGAATTAAACATGAATAAAGAAATGGGATATCCCTAAAAATCAATCTAATATAACAAGTATGCAAAATAATTAAGCAAAAATCGAAGTCAAGGCAAGAATTTGACCTTCATCTTGTTAAGAATCTCTCTTCCCGTCATGACTGAAGACTTTTTTCCTCCACTTATTTCCTCAATAAAATATCTTATCTGCCAAGCCCAGAAAAAGATGGCACTGCCTTCGAACTACTATATGAACGAGGAAAATTTATCTATGAATTAATGAGTAAACTATTATAGATCACGTGGTATTTATGGGTAATTTTGACTCTGATGAAACTTGTCGCTGACTTTTCTACTTTGAAGGCGCGTTTTTCATTTTTCCTTTTTCCGACTTTGACGTTGTTTGATCCCTAATTTTTTCTCAAAATACATTTTCGTCTTTTTTTTAAACTACATATTTTTCAATAAAATAATATCACACGCAACCCAAAAAAATTTCCTTCATTTGCTAATTTTTATGTCTCTTTTATCATAAAATAAATCGAATTGATCTCGAATACAAATGTTAGATGTAATACTTTTTCCGTGCGTATGATTGGAAAGATGCGTTTATCATTTGTTCCGAGTTAAAATTATTATTATTATTTTTTTATCTTTTTGTGTAAATGCGATCGTACTAATAAGGCAATTATTTAATTTACGTATATAACTGTAGGGACTACTACCATAGTTTGTCCAGGCCACACGAGTAAAATTACCCAACATTCTAACGTCAACTCAACTTGATCCATCAAACCATACTTAGATGCATTGACCACACTTATTAATATTTTGAAGATACTCCAACAACTAACCCAAACTTGATGAGCATGTCACTAAAGAGATCCTTGCATAAGACCGAACAAAAACACCATCTTGAAACTAGTCTTCATAGAAGTCAACTTGGATCCTCGTACAAAAACTTTCAACGTGCTCCTTAAACCTCTCCAACCACTATAGAAAAACATTTAAATACATAAGAAGTATAAAAAGTGTATAATCAACTACCAATTAGAGAACACACCTAATCAAAAGGGAGAATATACTGTGCCTGAGAAGTCTTTCTATCTAGTCCTGAAGGTGGTTCGATCTAATAAATTGATATGGCCTAGAGACCATCGTATTCCTTAGTAGATGCATAGTAATAGTAGTGGGATATTATAAGCTTCTTAGATTGTTAGGCTACAACGAAATCTACAACCGAAGTATTCTAGGGCTAGGCATGCAAGAAGTTGAGCAAGTCCGATTCAAATCGTATCACACTTGACATGCACGAGTGTTATAGTATACTCTCGAGTTTGCTTGTGAGACTAAATTTCAAACTACCTTGACTCTTAGGTTATAAAAATGTTCACCTCTTATAAGGATCATCGACTAACCAAACATCAATTCTTTCTATACAACTTTTTGATTTAACAATTTTTTCTTAGAAATAATATACTTAATTATAATTTTTGTGCATAGTCTTATACTCTTGACATAGTTCTGACATAAGCTACAAAATATGTAATTTTACTTAGGATATTTCTATTGATGTTGAAAAGGGCACGGCTTAACCGTCTTGCATCCAATGACTCAATAGTTATTGTGCGAGCTGGCACTTCACTACACCATCATACGCCCTATCCAAAGCCTATAAATAAATGTAGTTTCTTCCAAATTATTCATTACAAACAATTCAAAGACTCAATCCCAAGATCTTGTCCAAAATTCCCTCTCTACTGAAAAGCGATACATGCCTTCAGTCATGGTGGAAAATCACTCAATAAATAACACATATATCAATGGTGTCGTCCGTGGGAACCATCTTGATTCACCATCTAAGAACAAAGAGATATGTCAGTTGGCAGAAGGAGGACAACTTCCATCACCACTTGCAACGGAAAAACTACCAGCACATCATTTGTGCCTAAAGAACACATATAATGCCTTACAAGCGCATGTTGCTGCATTAATGACCATGCTCTAGGAGAGCAAGTCTGTACAGCAAGAGTCTGTCCCACCTCGGGAATGGTCCACAGCGAGCGGCGCAACCTTCACATGTGATAACAAATGCTCATTTGCAACAGACGGTCGAAGGGTTATTGAGTTAAAAAATTATGATGCCATAGCACAGAGGAAGAACAGAGGGCGGCTCATCTTGATAAGCAAAGACCCGAAATTAAACATCTAGCACCGTCAAGCGTTCCCTCCAAAGTTTAAGCATCCAGAAATCAAAAAATCTGATGAGACAATAGACCCGATCAATCTCTCAGTTTCTTCCTAGACATGATAAGACTAAAAGAGATGCCAAAGCGTAACATGCATTGCTTTCACAAATAACATTGAAAAATGATGCTAGGAAGTGGCATGATGCATTACCGACGGTCTATTACCTCATTTACTGATATTGCAATCAAGTTTGCTACTTGCTTCTCGAGCAGTGCCTGAAATAAGAAGATTGCTATAGGGCTAATGCATGTGATCTAGAGTAAAGATGAGCATTTGCAAGATTACATCGTATGATTCAATAAGACGACCTTGAGAATAAAAGACCTTCAAATGTCTTGGATTGCTAATGCTCTTGTTAATAGTCTTAGAAATCACAACGATAGTAGAAAATACATCTCGCATGACTACTGCTACATTCCCATGTTATCACGCGTGCCACCCAGAGTTTATAATAAACATACCAAACTAGTCTCTTAAGTATACGTGCCACTCGGGTGATAATATTTTGTTAAAAAATTGATTACACCACCTATTGTAGTGTGCCACGTCACCTGATGATTAGAATATCAATTTCCATAAACATAATTCTCTCTAAATTATTTATTTCACACGAAAATCTAACACTCAATCTGAAGACATTGTCAAAAAATTTCTCTATGCCTTCATTTTGCTGGAAAATCTTGCCCCATCTTCCACCACTGCTATGAGATCACTCGATAAATCACTCATACACCAACTATTTTCAATTTTAAAAAATTGGTATTGTATTCTTAATAGAATTTGAACTTGAATGTTAATTAAAATATTTATATCACCAAACTTTACTGTTTTGAAATTCGATTTTAAAGAAAAAATAATAAAGAACTTTACTCTAATATCATTTAATGTCACATTAACGCCACCTAAACTAACTCGAGTGGAGATGAATAGCATTACTCATTTGGAAATTAACATAAAATCTCTCAAAAATCAAACCACAAAACCAATTAATTCCTGTTTAAATATGAACAGTCACTTCTATAATTTCGTCGCCATGAAACGACGACATATCAAGAAAAAATCCACTATTGATTCTAGCCGTTACACAGTCTTCGTGTCTTTTTTGAAAATTGGACCGTTAGAATCTGAACGTTAATACCCCTCTTTCTCTCCAATTTTCTCTCACATCAACACTACATTCTCGCAAGATCAAATTTAGACACTCCCTTTCTCTCCCTACACTACAAAGCTTTCGGATTTGATTTTGATTACAGGATCGAGTTCTGTTTTTGCATCAATTGTTAATGGCGGTGGACGAGATACCGAATAATTTCTTCATGATGGATGAGGCATACGAGTACTCGGCTCCCCAGTTTTATGATTTCATACACGGGGAAACTGATGAAGATCGCCGCAAGGCCGAGCTCTGGTTTGAAATTACCGTATCCCATGCCCCTTCTCGTACGTAATTCTTCAACTTCCACTTTTCTTGATCATCTAATTCTAATTTTTTTTCGGGGATTTCATACGTGTCTATTGAGTTTCTCTGGAATTTCTTGATTTCATTTCCTCTTTTCCCATTTTGGCTCTTTAGGTTAGAATTTTAGTGAATTGCTACCGTATTCGTTATGTTCTTACATGCTTGATTTTCGAACTAAAAATTGTAAATACGATACTTGGATGACACAGTACAATTTTAGTAATTTCGGATTTCTAGGGTTTTCTATTACGAGTGGAATTATTGTAATTTCAAGTCAATTAAAGTTAAATTTAAATTTAAAAATGCTAAACTTTTTTCCTTTTAGTAGTGCCATTTTCATGTTTCAAATGACTTGATGTGAAAAATCGTGTTTAGTCTTTGGTTTAAACTGATGCAGCATTTATGCCGAGAATTAAGGCAAGCAGATCAGTTCAACTGCAAAGTCTCTGCAATTTTGGTGCGGATGAGCAACTACAGAAGGTGAAGTTAAATTCATATTCTCATTTCTTTGTGAATCTTTGTTGAGGCTTATAACATGAATGATTGAAGTTTTGACTACTTGTCACAGGCAACAGAGCCAGTAGAAACAATAACCACATCAAATAATACAGAGGAAGCAGTTTCAGAGCAACCAAACTTAACAAAGTCAGTTTTTCTATACTTCTGTATTATTTCCATTCATTTTGTTCGTTTTTCGTATTTCTTTGAGAAAGATGGACTTAAAAATTAAACCACTCACTGTATGTTAGGTCTCAAGAAGAGCTTGTGCCAGAACCCAAGGAAGAAGCTGGTACAAATCTTGCTACAGTGGTAAGAGCCTATCAGCTGTTCAACATATTAGATTGGTTTTTGGTTTGGGATTTGTCCATTTCTCATTATACTGAACCAATTTCAGAATTTCGATCTTAAGAAGGCATTAGACGTTGAAGCTGTACGTGCTGAGAACAATGAAAGGTGTGTTTTCTTTCATTTTTCCTTATAAAGATCATACACCATCTGATTGTTTCTACAGAAGAAGATAATTATTAAATCTAGTATAATATGTAGTCTGATTGCATTTGTTGCTGCTGCTGTTGATTTCAGCATTTTAGCAAGTGAAAACTCCTCTTCCCCTGCAAAAGCTGCCCAAGTGACAGACGTTTGCACCCCAGCACCAGTGAATCAAACTGAAACCAGAAATCGTCAGACAGCCAAAAAGATAGCCAGTATGCTTAGAAATCCTTCAACACTAAATCCAAAGAATCGGCTACATAAATCACTAGCCAAAAGTAGTAAACCAGCTACTGCTACAAGGTGCGTACAAGTAAATTTCATCGTGTTAATTTCCTAATGCTCTAATTATATTTCATTATCTACGAATGTACTTTTCTCCTCATCCTTGCTCTTTATTCTTTTCCCTGACGAGTCATAAAATGTTCTGTATGGTAATTTTAACTCCATGATTCATATATTCGCAGGGACACGAAGGTGAAGAACACTGTTGGAACTCTTAATTTTGCTCAAGAAAACCAAGCAATAAAGAGGCAAAAGCTCGAAGGAGGAAAATCCCGACAGGTGAATACTGTAATGTTAATTTATGTATTTCCCCACTCTAAGTTGAATTTTTTATTTGTCAAATTAATTTCATGTACTTTTCATATGCAGATTCTTACTATCAGCAAGCCTCCAAACCTACATCACAAATCGAAACCTAGCTCTGATAGCAATCCTTCCAACTTATCCTCTACAACGATGAAAACTCGTAAAGAAGACAGAAAGGTTAAACATCTACTTCATGAAATGTAAACCCTTTTGCAGCGTATTTGATTTGCTAACGCATAATTTAATGTGCAGATGTATGTTCGAGAACCAGCAGCCCCGTTTGTTTCCATGGCAGAAATGATGAAGAAATTCCAATCTAGCACAAGGGAGGTTTCTCTTACTCGCATGAGCAGTTCACAATCAGTGGTAATTCGAACTTTTTTTTGAGAAAAGTTGCATCACTTCAGATACACATATACATATACATTAGTTTCACACTTGATTTCTGAAATAATCAATCATATTTTCAGAATGAAGCTGCTGGAACAATGCGGAGGAAGCCTAAGCTCACACTAACACGGCCCAAGACACCTGAATTTGAAACATCTCAGCGGGCAAGATCAGTGAAAATTAAGAGTTCAGATGAGCTCGAGGAAGAAATGATGGCTAAAATGCCCAAATTTAAGGCTCGTCCATTAAATAAAAAGGTACACTTCACCTTTCCTGGTAAACGATTTTTATTAGTTAAATGCAGGTCGTCTGCAAATTCATTCATACGACTGTTTTCTTCTATGACAGATCCTGGAAGCACCAACAGTACCAGTATTGCAAAGAAGTACACCCCAGCCTATAGAATTTAAGGTAATTCACTAGTTTGCTAAAACAGTAGGAAAAACAAATTATGATATCCAGATAATTAAACAGAGTCGTTTGTACAGGAATTCCGTTTGGAAACAATGTCAAGAGCCATGCAGAGTTCAGAAATATCTACTATAGCTTCGACAGAATCAACACAGGTAGTTTTTTCTGGCCTCAATTTAAGAAGTTCAATCAATGTAATTCCTCAGTTTACATAATGAATTAAAATTGTTGTTGCAGAACTGTCATCAATGGAAACCTCACCATCTTACGGCACCAAAATCACCACTTCTTCAAACATCTCTGCGAGCGCGTCCCCCCAAGATAAAGAGTTCTGAGGAACTAGAAAAGGAGGAACTTGAAAAAATTCCCGAATTCAAGGCAAGACCTCTGAATAGAAAGGTAGCTGCATCTTCAACTTTTGATGATAATGATAGATAGAAGAGTGTATTCTTGGAATACACATTCACTGTCAATTTTTAAACTTTTCAGATATTTGAAAGTAAAGGGGACATGGGGATATTCTGTAACATGAAGAAGCAGGTTACTATACCTCATGAATTTCACTTTGCAATAGATAAAAGGATTCCTCCACCACCACCAGCTGCTGTTGTCGATCTATTCGACAAGGTAGTAATAGAGAAAGAAATTACACTTTTCTAGATATACCAATCTTTCCTAATTTCTTGTTCTCTCACTATATCTCACCTGTTAATTCTCCTTTCAGCTTTCTATAAACTCAGAACCTCACCACGATAAGCCTTTTCCGAGAATTACTACCCCAAATCCATTTCATCTCCACACAGAGGTATGTACATTCTTTTCATATATGATAGAAATTTTTAAAATAATGGTGGATCATATATATCTTTTTTTGGGGGCGGGGTTTGGATTATGCTTTTCCTTCGTCATACCAGGAAAGAGGGGCCGAGAAAGAGAATAGAATCGTAATGGAACTAGTGCAGAAACAGCTTGAAGAAGAGATGGCTAGGATTCCAAAAGCTCTTCCCTATCCTTATACAACTGATTATCCCATGGTATGGATTTCCTCCTCAGTCCACTTAATTTGTTGAGACGATCAACCTGACTTAAATTTTTATGCTCATTACTATCTCTTTGTGCAGATTCCACCAAAGCCAGAGCCAAAGGCATGCACGAAACCTGAACCTTTTCAACTAGAAAGTCTGTTAAGGCACGAAGAGGAGATGCAGAGAGAAATAGAAGAAAGGAGGAGGATTGAGATGGAAGAAGCTCAGATGAGAGTATTTAAGGCCCAACCTATCTTGAAAGAGTAAGAATACGAGAAACATTTATTATATATGTTTGTTCCTCATCAAGTTGGTTGAGAACTTAACACTACTTCCTATTGCAGAGACCCTATTCCCGTTCCTGATAAAGCTCGCAAGCCCTTGACAGAAGTTCAGGAGTTCAATCTACATGTAGATCACCGAGCTGTTGATAGAGCCGAATTCGATAAGAAGGTTATTTTCTTTCTCATTTTCTTGCACATTTGAATTTATTTACTTTCAATTTGTTTGTTTGGATACTTAAACAGAGAGGATTGTTTGCACAGATTAAGGAGAAAGAAATTATATATAAAAGATATAGAGAGGAGGCGGAATCTGCTAGGATGGTATGTTTACACATACTACAAACATTTAAAATTTTATTACGTAGTGTATGTATGATCTGACTCTTCTTTTAATGTTCAGATGGAGGAAGAGAAAGCCTTGAAACAGTTGCGAAGAACGCTAGTTCCCCATGCAAGACCAGTGCCTAAATTCGACAATCCTTTCTTACCACAAAAGTAAGAATAATGAAACGACTCATTTGTTACACAATGTCGTATTACAGACTTTTTGGTTGTTTTCATGCTATTTTGTCCCTATAAAATGAACAGGTCTGGTAGAGAAGTTACAAAAGCGAAGTCCCCAAAATTACATGTTGATCGAAGAAAAGAGAAGCGAAGAGTAGTGCGTTCAGCGGTACCAGTGGCCAGCACTGCCTCTCATATGAGGTGATTGTCGCCCACATGATGATGAGGGACACACGTTCAAGACCTCTTGAACCCCGTACAATGGATTCTGGCCATTGCTCTTAGTCCTCGGTCACTCTAAATCTCATGTTTTTGTAGAGCAGTTTGATATTGTTAACTCTGTATGTGTACTACAAATCATTGAATCCATTGAAGCTATATTTTGGACAAGTAATTCATATGAGAAAACTAGTTTGTTTAGCATATAATCCCAGCTCCTCCAAACTATGCCGATTTTGAAGCAACTACCTCCTTTCTTAGTATAAGGAAAAAAAACTTCGAAAGTTGCACGTGATATGATGAGGAGGGTGTGAAGTACATGCTCTTTGTGGATCAAATGTGGCGTTGCTTATTGTCATTCTCACATAGTCCTTCATCCAGATTTGAAGCCTAAAAACCTACTGATCGATCTACATTAAAGCTTGGAGACTTTGAATTGGCTATAGCATTAGGCAGGACATTTGGTACTGACTCTTAACTTTTCATAGACACTGCAATTCACGGTTTAAAATTCAACTCATCTTCGTCTCTATATTCATTTTTCTTTATATCTGTTCTGAATTCACCCTGCAAGAAAAATCTGAACAAAATGACTTCCATAGGTAGTCATTGTATTGTTTACCCGTTGTGTTCATAGAATAATCCTACCAAAGATTTCCACAGGTAGTTTAGTGAACTATATTATGCAAGTGCTTTGAATCTTAATAATGGACAACACAATTGATTCAAGGTATTTCATTGGCACTAAGAGTTCATCAAGGATACATGCAAACACATTCGGAAAATCAAAAGAGGTCACTGTTCAATACAATAATTACAACCATCATGCACTGTCATTTACTCCTGTAAGTAATAGCAATCTGATTATAATAATGGAATTTCAGCAACATCATGTCAATAGTTCCTTAGATTATCAATCCATGAACCTCTTCGACAGGATTTTGTTCAGCAATCTGCAGTTTACGAGCTTTCATTTTATGAGGTTTTCTTCATTAGTAGGTCCATAAACCACAGACAAATAGTGGCTTAAATCCCTTGGCGTGAGACCTGGAAACCGATGAATACTGGTTGGCTGTGGATCAATTTTTACAAAAGGCCATCTCATGGATTCTGCTGCTTCACATTCCTCGGAACCATCCCCAATTACACAAAATTGGACATTTGACCCATTAAAACGCTCCCGGATCCATGAAAAGCACTGAAGCTTTCCCACATCCCATGAACTGTAGACTGAAAAGTTTGGCACCTTTGTCAGTTTTGTTCTAAGATTGTATAGCCATAAGCACGAGACCAAAACCAATTTAGTGCAGCATCAATCGAACAGACAGTTAATATGAATAGAGGATGTGTTGATACAAACTGATCAAAATATGTGAAATTTAATTTTGTGTTCTTAATCGTAACCTTGTTGAGTTGCTGATGATATCCATTGAACCTAGAACAATATGTTTGACTCAAAACAAAAGGAAGCAATGGGGAGGATATATAAAACAACGATATTATGGGCATGTTTGAGCCCCATTTTTTGTATAAAATGCAATTTGGAATAGTAGATTGATAGATAATGTGTGGTTAAAAAATAAGGAAAATTTTTGAATTTGTGTATAAAATTATTTTATTGAAGAATATGTGGTTGAAAAGAAGAGAGAAAAATGTATTTTGGAAAAAATGGGGGATCAAACAAGGGCCATATATAAATATTAGAAATGTAAGAATAAACTAACCATTATCACAAGTAATCAGATCATCAAGTCGATATAATAAACATTTGACCAAGCTGGGTATCAATGGTCCAGATGTAACGAAGACATTCACATGCTGATGAGAATTGGCATCAGCTGAATCCAAACAGGGGGTCTTCTCTCTTTACGAATCACACACCGTTTCAAGCAGGCTTGTGCTGCATCGTTTGAGAAAGAACGTTAGAATAAAGATTGAGCCAATTGAATATTAACAAAAGATAAAAGTAACCTATCATCTTACAACAATAGGCAAGCACAGACTATAATATCGTGTTTCGTTCTTCCCCATATATAGTTCTTTCATCCAATGGACTGAGAACAACATAAAGATATAGGACACGACGTTAATGCAGCACAATGTACAACAGCAAGTAGACATTACTTAAGCATGCAAATCAGATCCTCATTGAAATAACTAAAACAGGAATTGCTACATGTTTTTAAAAGGGTAATCACGCATTTGAAAGATAGCACATGCAGAAACCTAATAGAAAATTGAATGCAGATATTTGCCTATCTTATATCACATGAAGCAGCTGGATATCATAATATTCAGATATCATGTGCAATCAAATGCCAATTATGATGTTTTCAGGTCAGAACTGTCTATATCTGAGTGAGACTGAAAACATGTTCTCAAAATTGGCTTGAGCAGAAAAGCAGAACCTGCTTCCATCCACATGGATTCTACGAAACTACTATAATTTGCACAACAGGATAAAGTTCTACCATATATTAATCTGATTAAATTTTTTTTAGGAGGTAGATGTTGAAAACCAAAATTAACATTTTCTCTTCTCATCCCAAGTGCACCTGAAAGAAAACTATCAAAAATCTGTTCTTGAAAAGGTAAAATTTCATCTATTGTTAACTAGTTCTGTAAAGAGCTAGATAATTATACTACTTTCTCTTATATTTATCTATTTCCAAGAGGAAAAGAGTACAATTAATAAGACAAGTAACTTAAGCAAAAAATGGTTTCTCCGCTATTTTAAAAACAAGGGGAAAGTTGATATTTTACAAGTTTGGTAATGAATTTTTAATAAAACCCAAGCAGATGGTGCATAACTTCCATAGTGGAGCAAACTGTTAATTACAAGGTATCATTTGAATAGAAAGCAGCAAAGAAAGGTTGTGTCAACTATTGAGGGGCTGGTCAATATTACCCCAGTAGAGATAGAAAGGGATATACATGTATGTATGTGAGGGGTGTGTGCGCATGTATGGAGAGAGAGATATAGATACACTGTGGTTAATGGAAAACCAGACACCAAAAGATCCCAACATCCATTTCGGACTTGAAAGCATAGAATATTAACAAAGGACAGCAACATACATCAACTTCTGGCCTGAATTTTCTTAATTACGGTTGATACAATATCTTACACGTTCTATCTTCATCAAATTTCAAATGCAAACTAAACTATCTAAGAAATTCATAAAATTGAGGCTTCCCTTCCAGTGTCCTTTCCCAAACAACTTCTGCCAAGAAAATCAAACCATGACACACATGGAATACTCTGCTTCATGCGCAAGCGTTACCTATGGACAAGTCATCAATCATCTTAGACTGTCTTATTTTTCAAAAGGGAACTAGTCAACAATCAAAAGCTGCCCAATTCTCATGTTTTGAGTTTGGTTCCTATTGACAAGTCATTCACCTTTTTCAAATGATATTTCTCATACAAAGCACAAAATCTAACTACTGAGATTTCTTTTATTTTCAAAATACAGAACTGAATTGGACCAGTCAACTTGAGAACATTCAGGGGACAACAAAGTAATTTACCTGAAGAGAGCCATCTATCAGTAAAATTATCAGATAAAGCATAGAGATTATCCCAGTGTTTTATCATATCTTGATTGAGAAAACTATACAAACCCTGCACAAGTAAAAATGTACAGTCATTTAGCAAACTGTATTGAACATCACAACATCTTTTTTGCAAGTCCAATAGTTTAGTCAAAAAATGCAGAAATTCTTTAATCAGACTGGTGCCAATTATTTTCAGGACTCAAAGTACAAACTAACAGCAGGAACTAATATTCTTGAATCTAGCACACTTCGAAAAGGCAACACAAATATGTTGGTTCCAGAATCTAGAGAATGAAAAACAACACGTGGCTCTCTTCCAAGAATCTTTATTTGCTCATGTTGGCCTGTGTTACAGATAGATGCATACTTTATTGGAGTTTGACAGAGCACAAAAACTAAATCACACAGCACCATTATAGTTAATCCAGCAAACTGATAAGTGCTTATTTTTTCATAATTTCTATATCAATCTCTCACAATTTTACTTATTTTTAACTTCTTTACTATTTATTAGTTTCTTTTAAATTTTGTAGGAAATTTGGAGAAAAAAGAATAAAAAGAGGTTAATAGGAGCAAAGGAGCACTTGGAGGATTAGGGTGCAAAAAAGGAAAAGCTGGAAGATTTGAAGGAAATCAAAGAGGTTATTTTCTACAGCAAATAAGGAAATAAAAAGATGGACTTTTAATTAATTTAACTTTTAATTTGGACCACATCAGCTCTAAAAATCCCACAATTAAGAACCCATTTTGACTTAATCTCCCTCTCCTTCTAAAACATGTTATATTCAATTGGGAGAAAAAAAAATGCAGGTATTCTTTCCTCATTTTGAGAACAATGTTAAATCATCTATCTCATTTTTCATTCACATTTTCGATTTCCATGAGGGCATCTGGGGTTTTTACACTAAGCTGAACTTTCATAGTACAAAGAACATGTATCATCAAGACCAAAAATATGAGTATTTGTTAAACTAATGCCCTAAAGATGCGCAATATTATAAAAAAATTGAATCAACAGATAGAAATAACCAATATCTAAGGATTAGTTGGTCAGAAGTTATACCAATCGCAAAAAAAGAAATAAAGATGACAGAACACGAAAAATGCAAACAATATAACAATTCACATTTGGAAGGATATTTTTGTACCTGTTTGTACTTTTGAGCTATAACACGGTGACGATATGCTAATTTTTGTTTGTTGCTGGCATCTAACAGGGGACCGAAGCCATCCCGGTTGAAGTTATAATCAGAGAGGTCCTGACCATCATCATAGTGGCTCAAGACATCTAGATAAGGTTGACTGAATTTTTCAATCTAAATCAATACAATATAAAAATATTTCAGCTAAGAGTTAGGGAAAGTACAAAAGGATGGGATGACCATAGAAAAGGAAAACTCACTTGCTCGTTAAAGAAATAGGAATCACACACTTGAAGAATATGATTCTCCCACATCTTGCCTATCTCTACACCATTCTGTACATTCTTTAAACCATTAAAGGCCCCAGCATATGTCCCATTCAGTAAAGACTTGAGCAATATGAGAGTCTCGTCCATGTCCCAAATATAAACTTTCATTTTCTGATCCATAGCAGCCCTAATGGAAACCCAATGACTGTTTAATAGCGATATAACTGCTTAACTCAATAGACTCTGGAAGATACAAGTTGCCTATCAGACTCCTGGATTACAAAGATTATAAAGAATTAAAAATGCTCAAATGCAACAATCAGGCTATTTAATAAGACTACAAAATCAGCTCATGAATGAGGTGAAACTACAGAATGTTTACTTTCCCTTTATTCATTTAGCCACTAGTTTCACCAAATGATTCAGAATTCACCAGAATTTATGTCCAACGCGAGGCTTTTCAAATAATTACTGGGAAAATCCTGCAAGAATCAATCTTTTAAAGTCCTTTACCATATCCCATAAAGAAATAAAAACGATCCACAACACTAAAATTCCTATCCGCAGAACATTCAATTTTAAAATTAAATTTAAATCGAACTAACAAAAATCGAACTGGATAATAGTTTCGGCACACAAAATTTGACTATGGTAGCTTCTGATCGCACTGAAAACACAAAATTTAGTTACGATTCCATTCATGTAATAAAGAAAATGAATTTTCTCATGAGGTTCTGATATTTTACATAGCGTACAAAAGAACATCCACAATAATTTTTTTTTTTAAATCGCTAAGTCTGCATAAGGGAAATTACATACAGAGAGAGGGTATCAGATTACTAGCAGAGCTTCTTGTGTTAAATTTGAAGAACACAGCAATCTAGCAAATAGTGTTCTTCGTTTTACGATATTTGATCAAGTTGGGCTCCGACGAATATAGTGTGGAATTGGGCCTATTCCACATCATGGAATCATAAGGGCCTGAATGGTGAAAAGTGAGAATGTTGTTAATAGCACTTCATAACGACAACATGATTTTGTGACATCGTTTTTGTATTTGTTTTTAGCAACTTGATTGACCATTTTTCGCATTGATTTAAGGAAAATGCTAATTGTACATAATAAATGTACATAATGTAATGTGGCAACCATCATGTCGTTGATGTGAAAGTGTCAGATTTAAATTAAAGATTTTGATCAATGCTACTTGTAATTATGTAGACAATTATGTTCTTGTAGCATCACTTTGGATTTAATTGATGGGAGTATGGTGTTTGTGGGTCTCATTAAGCCTCATTTGGCCCCATTATTTTACATATTAAATTATAATTAATTTTTTTTATGTTCTTATCAATTACACATTTTTTAATAAAATAATATTACAAGTAAATTTAAGAACTTTTTTTTAATCACACATTCTCCAGAAAATTATTATTCATTTTATTACAAAGCAGAATAATGTGGGCAATGGGCTCTAAATGCATAATGTTAAAATTTATAAATCAAATGAAATATGCAATTAAAAATAAAATTTGATTGCTAACTTATGAATTTTAAAATAAATTGATTATTCTGATTCGAATGATTGACCTTGTTAAAATCTCAAATTGAAACTAGTTTGACCCAATTCAGGTTCGTTCAAGTATTGACTCTTCTTATAGATTTGATCGTGAAATTTGATTATCGTACTTAACATTGGATATTTGACTCAGCTCGACAAGGTCAATGACTAAGTTGAACTTGACCCATTAGTCAACTAGCCGAGGTCGAGTAACCTAATTGATCGAGTTATCGTAACGTCGCACCCGCTAAGGCTCTAACTATGAATATCTGGCAAGCAAAAAATAATGAAAATAGTTCAAGTATTGGCATTGTTTCAGATTTTAATCAAGTCAAAGTCAAACAATTAATATTAACCACATCTTTCATGGGTCCCACAACTTTTCAATAACACATTTCAAAAACTTATATCACATCCTAATAAAATCTAATTTTAATCCCCATTTAAAAAAAAAAAAGAACCTAGTTATTTCCCGCCTGCTGTTTAGATCCTGAATTCAAAATCCTACTTCTCCAGAGTCACAGAGGAAACACAGAGAGAGGACATGGTTGTCATTGCCAGAAATGTGGAGGGTATCTCCAATCTCTCCACCACCGACGATCCTCTATTACCCTGGCTCCGATCCATTGAAAAAGCACTGCAAAATTCAATTCAATCAAACAATTCCACTGATCTCGACGAGCTCGTATCGAAATGTATTTATACCTTCAAGGCCGACCCACGCTACCGAGATGACGTCAGATTTCTCAAGATTTGGTTTCTCCATGTAATTTAATGAGAGATTGTGATTTATAGTAATTTCTTTTTAAAAAAAAAAACTTTGTTGGTTCAATTGACGAGTTGTTGATTTGTCTTTGACAGATGGATGGAAGTTCGGATTACGAAAGAGTTTTTAAGGAAATGGAGCAGAACAAGATTTGTTTACGTAATGCTTTGCTTTATGAATCGTTTGCACTGTTTTTGGAAGTTAAGGGGAAGTTAATTGATGCGTGTATGATTTACCATTTGGGAATTTCGAGGTTATTAACTTCTCCTAATGAATCATATGTTAGGATATACTGCTGTTTTTTGGTGATAATAGTTGATTAGATTAGGATGCTTTTTCGGTTTCAGGAATGCTCAGCCTTTGGGTAGATTGAAGAAAGCGCAGGTTTTGTTTCTTGAGAGAATGTCAGAGAGAGTGACAAATGGTTCATTTCAGAAGGTATGTTTTCACGAGTTATATCTAACATATTTTATTTTTACAAAAAGAAGTGATCTTTGCTAAGAATCAAATCTGTAAACCTAGACTGTAAATATACATGCAATTTTCTACCGAAGGAGCTCAAACCTAGTCCGTAAGTATTTTGTGGTGTTCTATAAACCTTAGTTACCAAAAATCAACACGGAATTATATTGAAGAAAGAAGCATGTTAGCTATCCATGTAAAACTTTATATGTGATTTTCTTATGAACAATATGATACTCGTGTTAGTATAGTTCATCTTTCTTCTTGGATGAAGAACTTAATCCTCTGTTTGGCAAATTTATAAATGGCTTATAAAGAGGAATAATATTAGGTCCCACGAAATATGTGGGTAATAATGAGTATTAGTAATGAATTTGTGGTTGAAATTAATGTTTGACTTTGATTAAATCTATAAACTATTTATATATTTGTATCCCATATTTGAGGTTACTCTAATTTTCTTTTGTTTTTGGTGTTAATTTGTGGATGGATAAGATAATGTTCCTATTTGATCAGTGTGTGTGTTGGACATAGAGTTCAACTAATTTTGGTACAACAAAGCCAAGGATAATGCACAAACATGTATGTAAAATAAGAACTACAACGTGCTCATATACTTGAGCACAATAGGTCTTGAGTTGTTTGAAGTGATATTTGAGTACGAAAAGGCACAACTTCAATGTGGAAAGTTAGCCAAAACTACTTAGTGTGGTGGAGCTCTAGTCTGAGCTTTAAGAAGATATTGAAAAACATAACTTAAACTTTTCTAGATGATTATATCGTTACTTTATTTGTCATTTATTATAGCACTTTGATGGTTAATAAATGATGGTGTTTCTTGGTGTATAAAGATATATGCTTATCTTTTTTCAACTCTTCTTTGGTTGCTAGTGAAACATAAGGCCTTATTCTGTAATAAGACAGCTCTTGTCCCAAAACAAGCCTAATCTTTACAATGAAACAACTGATGGATATAAGAAATAATGATTATTTCATAGACTATCAATTATTATGGTAATGCTTTCATGTAAATGAGAAAAATGTGAAGCTCTGTGAACTAGTTTATTACTCTTTGTCTTACAAACTTGATTATCATGTTATATGTGTCTCTAGGCTATATGGGAATAAATTTGTTTTCTAATTTGAATTCAGATTCACCCTCTATAATTCTACGCCAAAATTAGGGGCATTATATGCCAATAGACCCGACAAACTTAACGAGCATATAGCTAGTTTCAAGGTGATAAATTCCTAGCAACATAATTTATAAGCTTTACTAAGAGCATGTTTGGGAAGTGATCAAACACTATATTCACACATTTCGTAGAACTGACAATTAATACTCATTTATTATCCACACACTCCGAAGGACCCATAACTTATAATCACTTTCCAAACAAGCACTAAATGTATGAGTTGGTAATTTGGTTCAAGATTCTGAGAAACAGTTGTGACAATTAGCGGAGAATAATTTGCTCTTTTTCATTTATTAGCCCAATAGCTATGTCAGGTATACGGGATAACTATAAAGCATAGATATATATCTGTATCAAATTTTCTCCCTTCAAATAAGCCTTTCAATTGAAGTATCATTCTTCAAAGCTTCAACATTCAGGTTCATGGAGTCTACTCTTCAGTGTGTTGAATCAAGTCAACTGTTCATATTTTCATAATGTATAACTCATACATTGAACATGGTTCATATTCTAGCCTTTAAACTTCAGAGTTTAGATGGCTTAGGCACGACTTAGTTTTTCTTTTTGCAGAATGCATGTACTTTATTCTTTTCATTTTCAATCTATTTACATGTTTATATTTTTAGTATGAGATAGTAAAGTTATACCTATAGGTCTTTCACATTTCCTTGAATATCATTTGAATTAAATCATTTATAGCTAATTGCACTATGTTGTTCTAATCAGAGATCCATTTAAAATATTTGATTGATTGATTGATTGATTTGCAAACGTCAACATCTGATGGTAGGCCCCTTAACATTTTCTTTATTCAGATGGAAAACGATGTTTATTCAGAAAATGGTGAAAATTTTGTTAATCCATGGTCTGTTACAATCCTCAAAAACTTGTTGCAGAAGATGAATTCACACGTAGTAAAATATGAGGTAAAGCGAATTGGTTAGTATTTATGTGAAGTTTGCATAGTGATTTAGCTTGATTTGTTTTGATAGGCAGTTACATTATTCTGCAGGGATACCATCAAAGTAATAAAGCATATCCGGGGAAAGTTTCATTATTGTCGTTGCAGAAATCAGCTAGGCAGAAGACCATTGACATAGGTAAAACAATCTCCTATGGTCTAAGAATATCTTAAGTGTCCATTTACGATTCTTAGCAGCATGGATGGCTAGCTATTATCATTATTGACACAAGTGGTTAACCTACATGAAAGCTATACGTGCATGCACTCTTATGTACAAATAACATTAAATACTTATGTAAATTATGTCATATAATCAGCTATGAAAAAGACTTACATTCTCAAAGGTTCGCCAAACATATATTGTGCTTCTTTAATTAACATTTTATATTCGTGCAATGGTAACCATAATTGTCCAATTCAATACAAAGTTGCATTTCAAAAAATAAAATTAATCTCTTAAATGTTTGAAGAATCATAAGGGTACTTTTGTCATTTTCTTTCCAAGTTATGTATAGATCTTTTTTGCAAAATTATGAATATGTTTATTAACTACTTTGCTTACACAATACTTTATGTCTGTTCTTTCAGTACAATCTTTTTGAAACTCACATAAATGAGGGTTTGTGTTGTCAATTTGGTTATGGACGTAGATCTCAGTTTCTAAATTAGAGTTATGGAGATATCATCTTGAAACAAAAGGATGTATGAATAGTTGGAGTAAGACTGAGTATACATGGTGTAGTTTTAGTCAATATAGAAGTGCTTATGAAAGCTCATAAAATATCTAAAATCTAAACCTAAATGTTTTCGACAGACTCAATTTTTTATACAGAAGGAAATACAAGAGATTGTGTAACTAGAGAAGTGCTTAATTTTTTGATCCATTAACATAACCCCAACAATATTTATTGAAATCTGGGTTGACTACCTCACTTATTTTGACATGGACCGGACCTTTGACCATTCTTTATAAAATCGCATTTGTGAAAATGTGTTTTGTGCTTATGAATTTGTGAAATCTGGCCTGACAAGTAGCTGATTGGTGGGCATTGGATATGTGTTTCATATGCCATATAAAAGCCTCCTCTTGGGCCATTTTACACACAATCTGGTGTGCGAGTGCCATTTTAGGGTTTTGTTCGTCTCTTGTGTTCTCTCTCGAATATGTTCTTTAGTCTTTGTAATCTTGTGCGGGTTGCTTGATGTACTAAGTGTGTATTTGTGAGATTGGAGTGTAATTTATTGTGGTAAACATTTCCGTGTGTGAGGCAAGAGAATAACACTTGAAGAAATCATTTCTTCATACAGTTGTATGAAGTGTTGTTGGCTTGATTTAGTGATCTAGAGCAACATCTACCTTATAGATGCTCAACGGATGAGTAGTGTTTAGAGCACGTAAACATCTGGACCCATTAGTGGGTGAAAGTTCTCGTGTTCGATTTTTCGTTTTTGCAACTTTTATTTTCTCAAATTACTTTGTTAAGATATACGATTTGGGGACCAACAATATTTTGTCCTCTTAATCCAAACATCTGATGGAAAACATAATTGTCATTGACTTTTTGTGGAGGTGATAATAAATTGTTTTAAAATTGGCATTACACCTTGGAAAATTTGTTTTTCGAAAATGTTATGTATACTTTTTGATATATAGGATACTTATAAATGACAATTTATATTCGATGGATAGAGATTTTCTGTCTCTTGAATTGCTTATAATGGCTTTATGCTTTCCAAGCCTTACATTTTGGGTCATTTAGCTGGACATTGTATTTAATGGGTTCTTTAGTACAATTTGACTTAAATGGAGTTGACTAGTGCGAAAGGACATAATGATGATATAAAAACTACATTTAGCTTCCATTCAATCCAAAAGGAAACTGATCTTGATATAAAATTAAAAGAGCCAATCTAAATCTTTGGTTTGGTTGGTTATGCTGTAATTCTATCATGTAAGATGATGCATTCTATTCAGAGTATTCTGTCATTAGGTGGCAAGCACAAGTACAACATTAAGAAATTGGTCAATTTTATGTATTAACATGCAGTTTTACATTCCAAGGATTTACTTTCTGTTTCACTTATATTGTCTTTTTTGATGTATAACGACTAAAGGTGGATATAAGTACCAGATCAAAGGGTGTGCAGGACAAGGTGGATTTGCTCAAGTGTTTAAAGCATATGTTGACAACAATCCAGATGATGTTGTTGCCCTTAAGGTAATTAAGGCATCAATTCCTGACTTTTGCTTAACCACGACTTAATAGTGAAAGATCTTATTGGGGCACCTACTGAATCTTTCAATATGTTACAGATTCAAAAGCCTCCTTTTCCTTGGGAATTCTACATGTATCGCCAACTTGACATGCGGATTTCAGAAAAAAAAGTACGTGATTATTGGACTGTGATATATATTGAAATCTGTTGGTCATGAAGCTGCACTCATTCAGTTTCTTCATTTTTCAGAGGATGAATTTTGGCTTTGCTCACAGATTGCACCTCTATTCTGACTACAGCATTCTGGTCTCTGATTATTTAGCTCACGGGACACTTCAGGTGGATATCTTATTATTTTCTTCAGTTGAAATTATCTTATTCATTTCTTATGAAGTTCATATTAATACTCTGCAGGATGCTATAAATTCCAATGCTGTCATAGGTGGGTCTATGGAAGAAGTTTTGTGTATTTATTATACCATAGAGCTGCTCCACATTCTTGAAATTCTGCACGATACTGCAATTATCCATGGTGACTTCAAACCTGATAATTTGCTTATCCGGTATTCCAGGTAACTAATGGTGTCCAATTGTAGCATTTTTTATCATGAAACAGTGAACTCCCAGATCTTGATTTAGATGGGCCTGATTTTACTGAACATTTTCTTTACCAGATACAGCATTAGAATTTGTAAAAGATACACGTAAAGAGGAAATACTGTTATGCGTATTGGATGTTGTCTTGTATGGGAAGATGACTCTAGTTTTCATATTGTTTTACAGAAATAAACTTAAAGAAAGTTTTAAGAATATGAACCTTTAAGGGTGTGGCTGGAAACATTGTGATTTATTTTTTGGGTACAAAGTTAAGGTCAATTCTTTTTTCATAGTACCAAGGATTGTATGCAGAATGCTATGTAATAACTATAACATTATATGATTTTCTCTGCATGAACTCATTTGTGCTAATATGTTGAAGCGATATCTTGGTATCTCTTCCTGACCTTTTGACAGGGATGATCTAACAGAAAGTAAAGATGATTTTCTCACGTGCAGTGGTCCTTGGTGTAATCAGGTAACTTTCCGATGTTTCAACTTTCGAGTATAGAGATCTGGTTGATCTGTTGATATTACTACAGTATCAAGTACTAATAATGCAGGGGCTTTGTCTTGTCGACTGGGGAAGAGGAATTGATCTTAGTCTTTTTCCTGAAAAGACCAAATTCATTGGTGACAGTAGAACTTCAGGCTTTCGTTGTATTGAAATGCAAGAAAATAAGCCGTGGACATTTCAGGTAAGGTGTACATTTGACTAAATTTAGCATTTTGGATGATCCATGTACAGTCAATACATATAGCATCTACTTATTTTCATGTTTTAATTGTGAGGTAAGGTGGACATGTACGGGCTGTGTGTTATTATTCACATGATGCTTCACAATTCATACATGGATATTGAAAAGAAAGCCTCTCCTGATGGCTACGTTTATCAACCCAAATCACATTATAAACGGTGTGTCCTCTTTGTCCCCTTTGCAACTATTTATCTATTGGTTATGCTCATGAATCTTCTGTTTTTTTCATGTTCAAATAAATTTCTCAACTTTAGATACTGGAATATCGAGCTCTGGAGAAGCTTATTTACCAAGTTGCTAAACATTAACCCAAGTGAAGATCACAAAAAATTGCTCCAATCATTGAGGAAGTCATTCCAAGATTACATGTGTTCAGACCCTAAACTAATAAAAAGGTTGAAGCAGTTATTGGTGAAGCAAAGAACTTCCTTGTGTTCTTCTTAGGACGACATTTACATCTCCTTCCAAGTGTGTCCATTGTTCTTGCTCGATTGCAAGTGGTGCGTCTCTGTCTGATTTCTATTAGAACATATTGTAATTTTGTTCATTTTTATAATAGTTCTTGCAAATTTACTTTTTGTATTGTCACCGGTGTATAGAAAGCAATGGAGAGAGGCACTTGATATGTTTTAGGATTATTCAAAATCAGAATGTATGGGGAAAACTCTTCATCAGTGTCAACCATTGTTGAGCTAAAGGGAATCATGCATTGCCCCATTGTTACAATCTTGTTTTAAGTCATTTTTATTCACTTCGTGCTCGAATCCTTGTGTAAGAAAGTTCGAAACCTAAAATCTGTTTGTTATTGGATGGATGGTCCTTGTAAGTCTTATAAATTTTAAAATAAATTGATTACTAAAATCTATTCGTCATTTTGATTGCTAACTTATGAATTTTAAAATAAATTGATTATTCAAGTTCGAATGATTGATCTTGTTAAAATCTCAAATTGAAACTAGTTTGACCCAATTCGGGTTCGTTCAAGTATTGGCTCTTCATATAGATTTGATAGTGGAATTTGATTGTCGTACTTGATATTTGATAATTGACTCAGCTCGACAAGGTCAATGACTAAGTTGAACTTGACCTATTACTCAACTAGCCGACGTCGAGTTGCCTAATTGATCGAGTTATTGTAACATTACTCCTGCTAACTATGAATATCAGGCAAGGAAAAAAATAATGAAAATGGTTCAAATATTATTTTCCGCCTGCTGTCAGATCCCGAATTCAAAATCCTACTTCTCCAATGTCGCAGAAGAAACACATAGAGAGGACATGGTTGTCATTGCCAGAAATGTGGAGGGTATCTCCAATCTCTCCACCACCGACGATCCTCTATTACCCTGGCTACGATCCATTGGAAAGCACCGCAAAATTCAATTCAATCAAACAATTCCACCGATCTCGACGAGCTCGTATCGAAATGTAATTATAGGAATGTTCCTATTTCACCATGCCGTGTATGTTGGACACAGAGTTCAACTAATTTTGGTACAACAACGCCAAGGATAGTGTACAAACATGTATGTGTAATAAGAACTACAACATGCTCATATACTTGAGCACAATAGGTCTCGAGTTGTTTGTCTTGTTTGTAGTCATATTTGAGTACGAAAAGGCACAACTTCAACGTGGAAAGTTAGCCAAAACTACTTGGTGTGGTGGAGCTCTAGTCTGAGCTTTAAGAAGAACTTTTCTAGATGATATATCGCTACTTTATTTCTCATTTATTATAGCACTTTGATGGTTGATAAATGATGGTGTTTCTTGGTGTATAAAGATATATGCTTATCTTTTTTCAACTCTTCTTTGATTGCTAGTGAAACATAAGGCCTTATTCTGTAATAAGACAACTCTTATTTTTGCGGAAACAATTTTCTTTTCAAAGTTAAACTAGTTTGATCGACCTTCGATTCAACTCTTGATTGGATCTCTTTCAAAAACTTGCTTAAAGTTCCGTATATGAAGAGAAATTAATTTATGACTAAATAAATAAATGAACAATAGATATCTTAAGTTACTATCTAATATTCATTTAGTAACTTATTTTAAAAATAAAGAAAGATGAAACTTCCATCGATGACACCAACAACTTCTATATATATTGGCGATAAGTGACCATAAAATTGTAAATGGCTATTAAAAACACCATCGATGACCTTGACATGGACAATCGCTGACAATGGTACGTAGGTGATAATCGAGGATAAATGTCAAAATTTAGATGACACAAACCAAAGATAATATTATCATTGATAATCGGCGATGGAGCGGGTCTTGGTGATAGTCGTTAATATCAGTGTCAATAATTCCATTCGAATTACTAACAAATATTAATTTTCGTCAAATCACCTATAATAATATTTTCAACGATCATGTTTCAAAAATTTTCAATTATTATTTACTCCATTTAATTTTTTATTATGATCAATTATAACATGGTCAATCATCGATGTAATTTCTTCCGTGATTATTTATTCTATTCTACGTAATTTAATTTATTTTAAAAGGCCTAATCTCAAAAGATGACTACCACCATTCTCCTCAAACTAGTCACTAGAGGCTTATGGAGAAGGAGTACTACGACTAGTAACAATCTCGAGCAACCATCCCCTAGAGAAAAGGGCATCATAGACTGCCTTTGAGATCTATTTCTCTTAATCATATATAACATTTCTAACACATGTAAGAACATTTCAATGGTAATATTCTGTTTTGCAGACCTGATATGTTACTGTGCCACCGAACTTGGGGGTAACATTGCAGATGGTACCATTAGCAGATGTGAGAAAGCCATTAATCTTTGAAGCTACATCCTGCAAAAGAAGTTAAGTACGTTACCAAAGAAAATGATAAGTTATGAAATTTTTCTCAACATATAATTATAATTAGGAAAATTTATAAGGATAAACACATATTCCACAATGAAAAAACACAACTCATCAATATTATAACCAATAACGTCACTTTGTAATATTTTATGTGTCTCATTTAGAACAAGTAATTCTTTCATATTGGATTCTTGAAATAACTAAAGAATAAACTTTCGTCGATGATACCAACAACTTCTATAAGAGAACATAGCACCATCAATGATTATCGACAATATCATCGATGATATCGTCATTGGTAAATGCTGATAACTGTGTGTAGGTTATAATTGACGAGATAAGCGTCAGAACTTTCGTTTGTGACACCAACTACTTCTCTATCGAACATAACATTGTCGTTGGTAATCATCAATAGAGGTGTGTAGGTTATGGTTGATATTGTCAATGATAATAGTTCTATCCGAAATTATCAATAAATATTAATTTATATCATATCACATATAATAATATCGTCGACGATCATTGGCAGAATTTTGTCAGTAATTATTAGCTCCATTTAATTTCTTCTTCTTATTAGTAATACCATGACTGATCACCAACATAATTTTTCAATAATTATTTTCTATATTTAATTATTATTATTATTATCATTATTGGTTTAAAAGGCCACATAATTTTAATATTATTATTTTTTTGTTGCCTAAGGCCGTGAATTGCTTGAGCTGTCTTTGAATACCTCTTCATAATATAATATTCCAAATGAAAATGTTGTGGAGCTCATACCAATCTACACTAGGTTGAGGTCAAAAGCTGTTAACAAGAGCCAACTTGATCCTCTTCTCGTTGGATGCCCAGAGTTCGTAACTCTTCTTTGAGCTATAATATTGATATAAATAACTATAATGAAGTATATATAAATTATATATGTAACTCGTGCCCATCTTTTCTAATGCGTTCGAGCATCTCCCTGACTCCATATTCTCCATTTCACACTCATTTCATCTTTGTCTAATTCTCAGAGGTAAAATATCAAAAATCTTTATTTTCAAATTTATCTACTCCGGGGTTGCCCGCTTGCTCTTGAGAAGTTTCGTGTCCTAGATCACAAAGAAAAAGAAGACTTAAAGCAAAAGAGAAGTTTAATTGTATTCTCATGTGATTGGATAAAACAATTTAATGACGAAATTGAGGTGGATCAACAACGTTGAACCTAAGATGGAACTAATTCAAAATCACAAAGAAAAAGAAGACATGATCGAATGTTGTAACAACGGGTGAAGAACTTGTCCCTTCGACTCTCCTAAAGTCAAGATGCCCTTTATAGCCAAATGGATTAAACTTAGGTCCCGTTTAATTCATTCTATTTTCCATGGAACTTGAAAGTTATTTTCAAAGTTCCAACTTTTGTCTTATTTGATAGCCAATTTTTTCTTGACAAAATATTTTCCTCCCAACCCCCCTGATTATCCCATTATTTGTCACAACCCAAGCATTAATCCCGAGGGTATGTTCCCATCGATTACGAGTTTCCCTCATCGGGCAATGTACCTCGGCCATGGTGGTCCTCGAGCACATGATTTGACACCCCAAAATCATAGACCTCGTCGGGATGTCTCCTCGGGAATTATGTTTGCCCGTTCGCTTGGAACATCCTCGAGATCGTGCCTTGGCCTCGCATCTGACAACTCCTGTTTCATTATGGACTTTCCAATTAAATAAAACTTATCCAGTTATAAAGAAGTTGAATCCTACTGCTCTTAGTCCACCCAAGAAGGACCCAATTAGTAGAGTTCTATCCTTGTTAAAACACTTTTATGGAACAACACCGATCAAGTTATGACTTCAAAATGTCATAGAACTCTGGGGAGTTCGAATAACCTAGTCCTACTGGGAAAGCACTACCTACCTCTATAAATATAACACCATAAGTCATTATTCAGGTACGTTTTTTACATACAATTTGAGCATCCAATATTTTCCGTATTCTCTCTCTGACTTAAGCATCGGAGGGGCGACGAGGACACACCTCGACGCCTTTGTTTCAGGTACCGAAAGACCTCGTTCGTGCTCATTCTCAGTCGTCAAGCTCGGAAATCGACGGGTACGATTTTTGATAGCATCATTGGCGCCGTCTGTGGGAATGCTACCAAAAGCCATAGTCAGCACACGTTCAGGTCTTCCTCAAGTAGGTTCATCCGCACCAAACCCACCACCAGTTGCGGAGCCCCAAGCTCATCAAGAAGAATCATCTACAGAACCAGCTGCCCAACCACAGGTGGTTGATACAAGTGCCTTCGAAGAACTTCGTCAGCAAGTAACAATTTTGACCCAATTACTAAGCCAAAGGGATGCTCATCCGGCTCCGGAACAACCGCCGCATCGACAGTAGGACAAGAAGGAGGGTTCATGGCCGATGCTCGAGCTCGGGATACTCGAGAAGCTCATGACAATGGTGGATTTGGGGCCTCGGGTGTGCCACCAGTAGCCTCGGCCTCGAGGTTGGTCACCATGGACTCAGGCGAACTGGCCAAGATCATACAGGATGGAATCACCACTGGACATCGAAAGAGCACCGAAGGTATGATGGGGTTTACCCCTAACACTCCCTTT